GGGGGGGTTTCCAGGGGAACACAATGCAGAAATGCTTTTGTCTCTGCCTTCTGAGATGCTTTTTTTTTCAACTTCCCTGCTATGCTTGTAGTTCCTGGTGGTGTCAACTCCAATTCAGCTTTGCTTACCTTTTAAGATGTCTTCTAAGTGTTACCATCAATTCTGAACAGGGTATATATGTTCCATGTTGTAGTCTTTAGATAACAAGTGCAGCAAAAATGTAGGCCCTACAGTTGCTGGGGTAGATCATAGATCAGGGGTCTTCAAACTTGACAGCTTTAAGACTTGTGGACTTCAGCTCCCAGAATTCCTCCTCCAGTCATGTTAGCTCGGGAATTCTGAGAGTTGAAGTTCACAAGTCTTAAACTTGCCAACTTTGAAGACCCTTGTCATAGATGATGATGATAATGACAATGACAACAATGTTCTGAAGTTAGTGCAAAATGGGTAGCTTAAAACCACCATATCCAAGACGGAGACATACGGCAGCTATCTTGTCCTTTAACATGTATGTTCTGCCTTCACCCAAAATGGGGCTTTCCTCCACCTTTTCTGAAGCATGGCACCCAACATGTTCTTGAGTCATGCGTGCTCTTGTCTTAGACCATGCCCGGTTTAGATATAAATGAGTAGAAATGCATATGAGAAAGCATTCTTGGTCAGGGACTGTGATTTCCTGTGGGGCTTTGAAAGCACAGAGTTTGTGAGTGCGAGCATTTGATTTTATTTTTGTCAAGTCCCTGGTGATTCATAAAGATTAAGTTGATTAGTCGGCATTGGTTGGATTAGCCAATTAGCTGTGACTGTTTTCCCTGCTTCCCGGGTTTATATTATCAGTCATGTGCCTATGGAAGATATTAATAGAATGCCCCATATGTCTTCCATTGTCATTCAGAATTGGGCAGAATGATAAACAGAAGTTGACCTGCCATTAATACCACTTTGCTGCCATGTTGACTGTTGAAAGTACAACTGAAAAGCATATGCACATTTTCTGTAACAAGAAGGGAAGGACTTTTGGGTCTCTTTCACTGCCATCATGTAGTTTCTTGTATATTTCCGAAGAGATTAAATGTCAACCATCTGTCTATCTTTGTCCTCTGTTTTAATGACTCAGCTTGATAAGTTAAACCTACCAGAAGAAGCCAATAGACTGTAATTATTTTAAATCTTGCATCTGCCTTTCCCCATAATTCTGTCTGGTTCCAATCCTTTTTTTTGTTTTTTGTTAAGTCAAGCAGCAAATAACTAAAACAGTTTCACTGGGTCACATGAGAAACAAAACCCAGATTAGAAGTGCTCAAGAGGTTGAATGTCTTATTTTTCTTCACAGTTGTTGGAGCTGATTGCAAAGTCTCAGCTGACGTCACTGAGTGGAATCGCGCAGAAAAACTTTATGAATATCTTGGAGAAAGTTGTGCAAAAAGGTATGGATATGTGTGTGTGTGTGTGTGTGAAAAGGCAGAATATTGATTGTCCAAGAAACAGGCTGATCTCTAGTACATTAATTTAGCAAACAATCTGGCTAGGTTTACATCTTTGATTTTGGACCAGTTCCTGCTGAGAGGTGCAACTAAATCCTACCAAATGCAATATACAGTAATAGCAATTCTTCCCAATATGATGTCCTCCAATCTCCTTACAGCCTCCGTTAAATATAGCCAGAATAACTAGTGGTAATCCAACATATTAGATATGGAAGACACCAGTTAGAGAAGGATGAAAAATGACACAGATGAGTAGAATCGCTTTGCCTTGTTCTTCCCAACCCCGTGTGAATGTCATAGCAGCCTGTCTTTAGCAGGAAGTGATACCGTTATATATGTGTCTCACGCTTCAGAGTGGTGACAGGTTTTGAGATAGGAGGAGGTAATGAAGATTTGGCTTATCACCCAAGGCAGAAAGGCCCCAAATAATAATAAAAAATAGCTTTGTTTAAGGTCTTGTGAAGATCAGCAGCACTGGTCAACTTAAAGGAAACATTGGCTGGCTCATGGTGTTCCCTACATTTCTAATTATTGTTAAGTCTGTGGGATAATTGCAAGGCAATTTCAAATTGTTGGGTAAGGACTGAAGGCTACGTAGGATGGAAATGCCGAAACATTCCTTTGTACCGAAGGAAAGGCGAAGCAAAACGGATCCTTCTCTGTGGTCTTCTAGAAGAAAGTAGCTTCTCTTTAGTTTGTTGGCTTCTTTCTTCTTCGCCTGTATCTGACTGTCGCTTTTCTCTCGTTTCCCCCATCAAGTTCTGGAAGATCAACAGAATATCAGACTGATAAAAGAATTGCTGCAGACTCTGTACATGTCACTTTGCACCTTGGTCCAGAGTGTTGGCAAGTCTGTTCTAGTTGGCAACATAAACATGTGGGTCTACCGAATGGAGATGATTCTTCATTGGCAGCAGCAGCTGAACAATATCCAGATCACCAAGGTGAGCAAAGGACCAGACTTTTTAACCAGCTGATCAAAGAGCTGCTACCCCAGGGGTCCCCAACCACCGGTCTGCAGACCGGTACCGGTCCGTGGATCACTTTGCACCGGGCCGCAAAGAAAATAAAAATAAAATAAAAATGGCGGCTTTCTTCGCCTTCGGTGAATGCTGCTGGGATCAGGGATCAAGGACACAAATGAAAGAAGGGGAGGGGGGAAGCAACCAAAGCCTGTCCTACTCTCTGGCTTCGGTTTCCTCCCGCCTCGTTCCTCTCTCAGTCGCTCTCTCGCTCCTCCACTAGCCCAGGAAGAAGCTGCTTCAAAGAAGCCGGCAAGGTGGCTTTTCCTGTCGGCGCAGCTCCCCCGAAGCGCCCGTTCACCCCCACCCCGCCGCCAATCAATCCAGGTTCAATCCAGTGCTCTGTTCTGCCTGCCTGCCTTCATTTCTGGTTGTTTCGGAGCAGCTTTGGCTGAGAATAATAACTATTCGCCTCTTTACTCAGCTGAAGCTGCTCCGAAACCACCAGAAACGAAGGCAGGCAGGCAGGCAGGCAGAATGGAGCACTGGATTGAACCGCGGGCGGCGGGGTGGGGGTGAACGGGCGCTTCGGAAGAGCTACGCCGACAGGAAAAGCCACCCTGCTGGCTTCTTTGAAGCAGTTTCTTCCTGGGTTGGTGGAGGAGCGAGAGAGCGACTGAGAGAGGAACGAGGCAGACACCTGAGGGATGAGGCTGAGGGAGGCAGGGCCGAGAGGCGGGGTTTCTCAGCCGTCCTGCAGGGATTTGTCCTGAGCCGCGGAGACAGCCGTGGGCCGCCGCCGCCCAGCGCTCAGTTTTGAAGGCGCTCCTCAGCCAGGCGCAGTTCCTGAATCTGCAGCTGAAACCCTCCGTTTTAAATGTCCCAATAGAAGAGAATATCTGTCGCTCAGGGTTGCAATGAGGAGGCATTGGCGCTCCCTGAACTTGGTGGTTTGCTGGCAGACATTTTATTACCCGACTAGGTAACAGATGTTACTTAGTCCGGTAATGAAACGTGGTTTGCAAGCAAACCACCAAACTCGGACTCCTCCCCCCCCCTCCGGTCCTTGAAAAAGTGTTTCTGCGTGAAACTGGTCCCTGGTACAAAAAAGGTTGGGGACCACTGTGCTACCCTATTTCCTTGAAAATATGACCACCCCGAAAGTAAGTCCTAGCTTGATTTTTACACGTGCACCCAATATAAACCCTACCCCCAAAATAAGCCCTAATTAAGACCCCACCCACTCCAGAGTGCACGGGTAAAAATTAAGCTACAGTGGGAATGGAGGATGGTGGAACTGCCCTACTACTTACCTTTGGACAGTTGTAGCCATGCCTCTCACAACCCGACACCTGCCTTGTCAGTCCATTTCTTCTGCAGCCGTCAAGGCTGGCAAGGCTTTCCTGAAGGCTTCTGCAGCTGATAACAAAGCTCTGGATTGATCCAGAGCTCTGCTATCAGCTGCAGAGGCCTTCAGGAAAGCCTTGCTGGCCGTAGAAGAAGAAGTTCCTGAAGGCCTTTTGACAGCGAAAAGAAGGCCGGGGGTGACGTGTGCAAATGAGGTTAGCCAGTGGATGACATCCCCCTGTTGTGCTTAGCCGGCAGCAGGTGTGGACATCTGAGGAGAGGGAGGACTCAGATGAGGGGCCAGGACCATTAGGGAGTGGACTGCTGCCTTCAGAGATTGTGGGGGCTGGCAGCAGCGATGAGGAGGTTCCTGAGGAGCCTGTGCCAAGTGTGCATGTGTGCAGGGCTGATCGGAGGAAAGAGCAGCTGAAGCAGCACAGGCGACTCGGGAGTAAGGCTGCAAGGTAATGGCCCCTCCTTCAAGAAGATAAAAGCCAGCTGTGAATCAGACATTCTTTGTCCTCATGGACATTGCAATATCTTAGTTGGTATTTGAAGACCCTTAAGTTGTGAAATATTTCTTATCTGTGATTCTTGGCAGTCTCACACAGTTTTGGAGAGGTTTGTGCTTATCAAAGTTAATTAGTTTGCAGCAGCCTTTTAACTGGGGATTTGTAAGACTCATTAAAAGGTTTCTGTTCCCTTTGGTTATTGTTTGTTTCATTGGAAAAGGGTTTGGGTCAGAACACCCCCCGCAAATAAGACCTGATGATTTTTTTGGTAGCAAAAAAATATAAGACAGGGTCTTATTTTCGGGGACGGGGGACGGTATCGAGTTATTTTCTAAAGCTGTAAGAGATTCAACAACAAGATTAATAAGCAGAGTTAAATCTACCTGCAAACGTGCTGACCTTTATAATTTTCATCAGGAAGATTTTACAAAACCCATTAGCAGGTGAATCAGGGCCCAGCTAGGTGGCAGTGATTGTAGGAATCACTCAATGATCATTTGTTCGGCATTCATTCAAAGTTACAATGGCACTGAAAGAATTGTACTTACAGGTAGTCACTGAAGTTACAGCTGCTTTAAGTGCTACTGTGATCATGTGATCAAAATTCAGGCTCTTAGTATCCCACCCACATTTATGACTGTAGTGTGTGCTTTAATTCCCCCATCCTGCCTGTCTTCCCCCCATCTCTTTCCTTTCGGCTGCACTCTGCCACTGACTCATTCCCAAGTGGCAGCACAAGGGTGAGTCCTCGTCTAATGATGTCACTTCCTCGTCTAACAACTGCAACCAAGACTACTAGAACTGTTGTTGCTAAGCAGTGAGGTCATGTGATGTTTCACCTAATGACCACTTCACTTAGCAATGGAAATTCCAGGCCCGGTTAGGGTTGTGAAGTGAGCTAATACTTGTACCTGGCCTTGGTTAATGGAGAATGCTCAAAGTTATTTCTTGAATGGGCACCATTTAGGAAGTCTAAGGCTATAGGCTAGGTGGGAAATTGAAAAAAAAAAACACAAAATATTATGGAAAGAACCCAAGATGGCAAACCTTTTCAATACCACCTCAAGAATCTGCTCATGAAATCCTGAGGTTGTCAGCTCCAACTTGAAGACAACTTTAATACAACAGGTGAACGTTCTTACAAGTTGCATAGAAACCTTGGTATCTTTCAATGTGGTCACCCATTCTCTTTTCTCTCTTTTATTTCTCCAGCCTGATTTCAAAGGGTTGACTTTCACAGACCTGCCCTTGTGTTTACAACTAGATATCATGCAACGGCTGTCAGATGGGCGAGACATTGTGAGTCTTGGGCAAGTGACTCCAAGTCTTCAGGTGCTCAGTGAAGACCGACTCCTCTGGAAAAAACTCTGCCACTACCACTTCACAGACCGACAGGTAAACGGCAGTGGAAAATGTTGTGGAAGCTCCAAAGAAATATAGAGAAAATGAATTGGAATAATCCTTAGTTCACCATCCATTCTTGATTAATCATGAAGCTTATTCAACCAAGGTGGCCTATCACACATGGACATTAACTTGCCTCTAAGGCTTCTCCTGAGGGCATATTGTTGTCCACAAAGTAATTATGGCATGCAGCTTATGCTTAAATGCTTTATTTCCTTCATGCCCTTCATAAAGGACTTTTTTAAAAAAATTCCCCCACCATTTTTGGAGAAGGAACACCTTGTAGTTGCTTCCAGTTATTATTTCTTGTGTTAATTCTTGACCTCTCCTCATCCTGTCCCAACATTATTTTTAATTTTAAGACTTGCCACATCCACACTTACTGTTTCAAGGCAGCATGCATTCTCTCAGACTTACTTCTTCATGGGTTCTCTTTTTGCAGAATGACCATACCGTTAGCCATATCTCCGTGTACTTTTGCAAATCTATCATTTCTTTGGTGTCTTCTTTGTTTTAGATACGCAAGCGGCTAATACTGTCAGATAAAGGGCATTTGGATTGGAAGAAGATGTACTTCAAGCTTGTGAGATGTTATCCGCGGAAAGAGCAATATGGAGATACTTTGCAGCTTTGTAGACATTGTCATATCCTTTCATGGAAGGTAGGTGGTCATTTTGTGCTGTTCCACTGAAATACACTGTAGAACTGGGTTTTTTGTTTTCTCTACATAATTCATTGATTTTAGCAATCTTGTGGATTTTCAGGCCATTTAAAAAATAACAGTTTTAAATTTCATATAATGATGAGTAGATTAATAAATGCCCTAATATGTGAAGACACCATGTTTCTTTTTTTTATGTCAACACAAACTTTATTATAGAAACTTTTGTAGATTTTTTTCTTTTAACATTTTACCTTTTGTAAACTTTTTAATATCTTTTTTTTCAAGTTTTATTGAACAAAAACAAAAAGAAACATTAAAAATATTGAACACACAGTACAATCCTCCTAACCCACATCTTTGTCTTACATTGCTAAATCACATATAAAAATAGTACATGTTTACATTCTATATATAATACTATATACTATATAATACATTTAATCATTTCTTATAGTCTTGATCATTTCTCTTTTCTAACCAACCATAAAACTTATCCCATATTTTGTAATAATCCGATTCATCCTTATTTTTAGTTCCTTTGTCAACTTGTCCATTTCTGCGCACATCCAAATTTTCCTAATTATTTCTAATTCATTTGGAGTTCCTTTACCCTTCCAGTGTTGTGCATAAACCAATCTCGCAGCTGTAATTATATGAATTATTAAGTATATAGTATCCTTATCATATTTCCCCACATTGAGTCCTAACAGAAAAAAATTCCGGTCTAAGACACTATGTTTCTTATCTCAACTATGCATATTCTAAATGTTCCATTAACAAATGAAACCAGGAGACTGTAAGTTCTAGTGCTGCCTTAGGCAGGAAATCCGGTTGAGATGACTTTGGGCCAATCACCAGGAGACTGTGAGTTCTAATCCCGCCGAAGGCATGAAAGCGGGTGGGGAACCTTATGCCAGTCACTCACTCTCAGCCTAATCCATCTCCCAGAATTGTTATTGTGGGGAAAATAGGAGAAGGAAGGAGTATGTACATTCGCTGCCCTGAGTTGCTTATAAAGTAATAAAGGGTAAAAAAATCAAATAAAAAGGATGTGAATTTAAACCAACTTTGCATATCTTCATATGATTGATGAATTAGTTATTGATGAGCATTTAGTATGCCATTTGTCCTTCTGGTGCTGATAGAACTACTGGATGCAAATTTTAAAGATTTTGATGTTCTTGTTTTATAGGGCACTGATCATCCCTGCACGGCTAATAACCCGGAAAGCTGCTTGACTGCTCTTTCGCCACAAGACTTTATCAACTTGTTCAGATTCTGAATTCCCAAATAATTTCACTACCTATCGTATTGTTCCGATGGGACACTACACTGCTGAGCAGAATGGCTCAGTTTGTATCATAGCTTGTAAATAATACGGCTTGATTGTTCCTGAGTCAAAGACGACAAGAGACTTTTAGGAGGCAGAAGTAGCCATAATCTCATGGCCTTGGACTCTTGAGAGAATATAGCCTCCTAGTTGGACTTATGTAAAAAGGCAAGATTTGTGTAAATATTAAGCTTGGTAAGAATTGGTGTGCAAACTTTCGTTGACAAACAGTTTAGGAAATGCAAAGAAGAGTCACCCTGCGAATATTTGGAAATGTCTTCTGGATTTTCAAAGCCAGAGGAATGATATACACTGCAGTTAGGTTAAAGCTTGGAACTATTCCCAACTCTGCTTTTTTTATTTGTTTGCAGAAGATATTTATACCTAAAACTTTTTTAAAAAAGATTTACAAGGATATATCCCTTTATTCTTCAAAAAAAAATGAACTGAATCCAGATAAAATTTCCCAGTTTCTACCTCTGAAACAGCTTTCCAAATTAAACCAGTGTGTGGTATAAAGCTTCTGTACATCATCTAAAGAGATGTGTGGGTTTTTGTTTTTTTTTAATCTGTTGATAGTAGCTTTCCTGGTGCTGCTTTTTGTAACACTTAAGTTTTAATTTATCTGGCTATCTTTTTATGGTATTTAAATGTAACTGAGTCCTGGGAAATTTGGAAATTTCCCTAGGTCATTCTTGGATACCATTGAAAGCTGACTATGTTGTAAGTACAGCTTAGGCAGCTGGATAAACTACCTGAGTAGACCTTTTATTAGAAACATGTTTTGGTTTTTCAACTTTGCATGCAGTGCAGATGTTTACTCATTATCTTAAGAAAAAAAAAACCCAACAATCTTTGTGCAATTTAAATGTGGAAGATCACCCCTCTCAATGAGGATTGCAGTATTTGGGCTGCAAAATACGAGCAGCCATTAGATGTCAGGAAAGAGAGAGTTTCTAAACTAACTCTTTGCTGACATCTACTGGTCACTGCGCACTTTGCAACCCAGGAATAACTACCTTATGCTAGAGGGCATAATGCTTGTTCCTGTGATCTCATGAACCCAGTTTGGCAGTTTTGATATCATTTGATGTTAAAATTGATGATGCCACATGGGTTATACCCAGAGCCTTCCCTCAGATAAAAGATGAAATAGCTAAGAAGCCTCTTCCTATTTGCTAACATGGGGTTTGAATCCTGAGTGTAGATGAAATACCTGATTTTAAGAAAAATTAGAGATACAGGCACGCTGCATATCCAGGTAATGACATTTCTAATCTCAAATTCAGACTTCATTATAGCTGAGAAAGAGTGTCCTAATCACCAAAACATTAGTCTTTCTCTTTGAAGCATTCCCTCTATATCTATAGAGTAGGAAAAATTCCCATATGGGCATCAAGGGTTGAGGGTTTGAGACATTGATGTGGTCAGGAAAATAGGAAGTCAGACTGGAATACAGGTAGCTCTTGACTTACAACAATCTGTTTAATGACAAAGGTACAACAGCGACCATTTGTTGCGCTTACAACTCACAATATCCTCGTGATCACTTGATCAAAATTTTGGCACCTGGCAATCGGCATGTATTTACAATGGTTGTGGCATCCTGGGGGTCTGATTGCCATTTGCAACCTTCCCACCTACCTACCAATAAGCAAAATCAATAAAATCAATGGGAAGCCAGACTCGCTTAGCAACCGTGTGATTCACTTAGTAACTGCAACCATTTGCTTACCCACCATGGCAAAACAAAAACAAAAACGAAAGTTGTAAAAGTGAGAGTGGCTCCCTGAACAACCGCCCTGCTTAGCAATGGAAGTTCTGTTCTTCCTCGTGGTTGTAAACAGTCACAGTTTCACTTATAGTGACTGCCTCGCTTAACAACCAAGTCGCCGATCCCACCAATTGTCGCTCGCCAAGGACTACTTGTAAGTAAATAGGAAACTTGTGTTTTAATAGATAGGTTTTGTCAGAAAGAAAGCCCCATTTGGGACAAATAAACGGTTATCAAATGTTAAGGAAAAGGTTTTGTGATTGGGAGATTAGATGCAAATGAAGATTAAAAAGAATCAGAAAGTTTCAGGGGCCTCTGCGGGAAGGGTGCAAAATGATGAAAGCAATGTTGTAATCTCATGAGATTAACTCTTTTGTAGAGGTTTGCAAAAACCTTATGGCATGACATAACTTCTGTTATTCTTACAAGAATAACAGTTCCTGCAGTAGTGGGGTTTTAAAGTATGCTTTTGTATATATGTGTGTGTGTGAAATCATTTTTATTTACTGTTATCACTCAACTTTCAAAAAAAATTACTCCGCATAGGCTGCAAATCTGTTATTTTCTGGCCTTATGAAATACTGCCTATATGGGTTGTCCTCGACTTACAACAGTTCACTTAGTAACCGTTTGAAGTTGCAGTGGCACTGAAAAAAGTGACTTAGGACCTTTTTTCACACTTAACGACCACTGCAGCTTCCCCAGGGTCACATGATGAAAATTGGCCACTGACTCATATTTATGACGTCAGTGGCAGTGACCTGGGGATCAAGTGATCAACTTTTGCGACCTTCTGACATGCAAGGTTAATGGGGAAGCCAGAATCACTCAACAACCGGGTTACTAATTTTTAACAACTGCTGTGATTCACTGAACAACTGTGGGAAGAAAGGTTGTAAAATGGAGCACAATTCACTTCGCAAAAGTCCCGCTTAGCAACAGAAATTTTGGGCTCAACTGTGGTGATAAGTCAAGGACTACCTGTATCTACCCAGTGTTTTGAAAACTCTGCTACTCGAAACCCTTGGTGGCTAGGAGGTGAATTTTTTATTTTTTTATTTTATTTGACATAACACGTCAATGTTACACTGTAGAAAAGCTGATTGTGGCACCTATGTTGTTTGAAGGCTAATAATAATATTCTGCATCACTTGTATAGGATATTAACTTTATAACTTTGAAGTTGAATCTAGGACTTTGAGACGTGTTCACCCATGTTCAGGGATAAAAACCATATTCCAGAATAGTCCGATGGTCTCGTATAACCATTTTTGTCTGGAGTAGGATCCTGAGCTATAAGTTCCTGGAAACCATTTGGCAAAATCTCTGGTTCTGCATACATTTGTGCCAGAGTATTAGGGCATCCAACCAGTTAACTAACCTTCCCTACAAAATCAAGAGTAAACACACAATGATGTGCAATGATGCCTTTTTTGAAATAGGCCTGGAATCTTCCAAGTGCAGTAAAATGTCTACGAAATCTTGATATTTCTTTGCCTTCTATTCACACACTACATAAGGGAGAACAGACTTGACACATTTTTCTCAGCAACCTGTTGATGGTTCCTTTTAGCAGCTCTGCAGTTTGACACAATAACTTGCGGTGCTTTGTGAAAACACTTCTTCTTGTTTGCTAAATTGTTGGCAGAAACACTGCCCTGCTGTCAATATAATGCTTTTATGACTTGAAGGGTCCGATCTATTTCACCTACCATGGTTCTTTCTATTTAAGATTCTGCAGTCTAAAATTCTGTTATAATGTACAAAGTGCAAAGTATTTTTTAATTGTTCGCTTCAAAACTTTTCACTGCCAGTTGTCTTTTTTTCTTTCCATAAAAGTATCCAAGGCAGCAGGAAAAAAAAAAAGAATTAGCTGCACTGATTTTTTTTTTTTAAATTAGATATCAACACTCCATCAACACATTATCTTTTGAACGGAGTGTTTTGGTTTTGTAATTATTTTTTTATATCCTTGTGAACAACTCTGGGATCTTTTCCGTGAGATGAGATATAAAAATATTTTGAGGATGAGAAGGAGGAGGAATCTGGAAAAAAATATGGAAATGAATTCAAACACTTGTCAGATAAAATGCTTTTGCACTATAGTAGTTTGAGTGTCTTCTATACCTTTGCAAATACTTGATGGCTAATAACTAACTGTTCCAATTCCAGTTTTTTTTTCCCCATTTCTATAATCCTAAACTTTGGAGATATTTAAAAATCATCTCCATGCAGGATACAAAACAACACAAAACTGAGTGCAATTAGCCCAGAAATCAATGAGCCATATTAGAACTAGTAAACCAACCATTAAAATGATGGCTACAATATTCTTATTGGCAGAAGCTCTAATTGTTCTCTTGCGTGGAAATGTGCCACAAGTAGTAAAAAAAACGATTTGATCACCATTTCCCAAATTTCTCCAAAAGCATGTATTTTCAGCATTTGAGCTTTATTCTAGAAATATTTGGATCTGGAAGTCTTGCAATGTTTAATCTTACAATGCTGAACTTAGTACAGGTAGCTCTTGATTTACAAGAGTCTGTTTAATGATCGTTTGAAGTTATAATGACACGGAAAAAAGTGACTTAGGATAGTTTTTCACACTTACGACCATTGCAACATCCCCAGGGTCATGCGATCAAAATTCAGCTGTTTGGCAACTGACATATTTATGATGGTGGCAGTGTCCCAAGGTCGTGTGATTCCCAGAATGTGTTTCCAACATTCTGAGAAACAATGGGGAAGCTGGATTCACTCAACTAACTTTAACAACTGCAGTGATTTACTTAGCAACCATGGTAAGAAAGGTGGTAAAACAGGGCAAAGCTCACTTAATCAAGGTCTCGCTTACTGACAGAAATTTTGGGTTCAACTTTGGGATCATAAGTCAAAGACCACCTGTATCTGCCTTCAGGGATGGCTCCTTAGCACTTTGTTGTTTTGTTAGTACTTTATGTTCACTAGTATTCAGTGGTAGGAACCAGATAGTATATCAGAAAGACCTTTGAGAGAGAGAGAGAGAGACAGAGAGAGAGAGAGATATACACACACACACACACTCCAGTTCTTGCTTCTTATTTTTTATTCCTTTTTTTTGAGATTGAGATTTTAAAAAAAAGATGGTAGTTAGATCAGAGCTGTGAAAATCTGCAGGAAATCCATTCTAAAAGGATTTTTCTAGAGTGTTGGGTTAGTTAGATCCTATCACAATTATAAATACTGGTGTCAGTGATCTTAGAAATACTATAGGATCCACAATGTCTGAAGACCAAGGGAGAGATTTTATCCTACTGCCATAGGACAGGGCTTACTCTGTTTAAAAGGTCCATTTGTGCTATTATGTAATTTATTTCTCGAAGAGATTTGGTAGAGAAGATTCTCCCATAACGATCTTATTTTATGCTCCTACAATCTCAGGCATCTAAGCCAATGTTTCTAAACTTCAGCCAACTTTTAAGAGGTATGGACTTCAACTTCCAGAATTTCTGAACTCCACACTTCTTAAAGTTGTAAAGATTGAGAAACACCAGGCAAAGCTGTTATATCACTTGTTGTATTAATCTTTGAGCTTAGTTTCAAGCATTCAGCCATGAAAGGATTGCAAATTGTACATTATAGTGTAGCAGGCTACATGAAGCCAGCCATTTGTGGTTTGGCTAACAAACCATGGTTAAATCAATAACTTAGATCAAAGCCTCAACTCACACAGTCTTGACAAATATTTTAAATTTTGCTGTACTTAATCCCAGGAATTCAGTTCCAAAATGAGTAGCAGTAAGTCCATAATTTAATGGATCTTGATTTAAGTTTATACTTTGAGTGCAGTGCACAAATACTGGATTTCTATTAGGTCTTACTCCCATTTAACAAATTAATATCTTTGGTTCAGTTAGTAGAGGATATGTCAAATAGATTTTACTGCAAATTATGCTACTTTAGTTATGCAAATGAGGCAAATTCAGATTTAATAGGCACACTCTCCCCAATGGTCCATTAAATCAACATTTTACTCTATTTTTTATTTTCACATGTTTTCATTTTAGATTTTGATTATATAGATATAGATATATCTGCCTATATTTGTATATTTGTTTAAGAGGGTTTTAAAAATTGAAATGACATACAGGGGTGAGAAAGATTAAAAAAACAAACCTCATTATGTAATTTTAAAAATCCTTTTGTGCAGCCTTTTTGCAGGCTTCTGAAAATCTTTCTATATAAATTTTGCACATTCTTTTTCTTGCATGTTCAACTATTCGACAACTGCTTGGTACAAGTAGCAATTATTTTCTTTCCTTTTGTAAACTGTTTTTGACACTGAAATCATGAATAAAATATTCATAAAATAAAAGACTGGCATTTCCATTGCTTTAGCTGGAACAAGCTTCTCCTGGTTTCAAAATGTCAGAAGGTGGCAATCATTACCCTTCACTCCCTATTTTTTATAGGAAACATGCAAACATGTCACTCTACTTTTCAGAAATGAAGGTGCAGATTAATTATTGTGAGTATACACCAGCCTTGTTAGTTTAGTGGCCTCTAGATATGATGGAATACAACTTCCAAGGCTTTGCATATCTGCCTGGGAATTTGTGTTATCCAAGCTTGGAAGATCAATTTTTTTTATATTTATTCAGTTTATTTCATTGGGGAAGCTGGCAGGAAGTTGGAAGTACCCATTGCTTTTTTGTCCACTTTTGGTTATTCTGTCTAAAGGTTGCATCATGGCAACTGGACCAAACTTGGTTAATCTGAGACATTTCAGTGCTCATCCAAGCAACTTCATCAGTCAGTTTCGTTGGATGAGCAATGAAACACCTCAGATTAACCAAGGTTGATCCAGTTGTCATGATGCAACCTTTAGACACATTTGGACTGGATGCCTGAATCTTTATCAGCATATCTTGGTCATTGTGTTTTTTTGTTCAGATAAGGAAATATTTCTGATACAATGACAAATGGGGCATGGATTGTCTAGTATGGACTAAGAATGACTTCTTGCTCCTATCCTGCTAAAAATATCCAGCTGCAAATTCCACATTGGATGTAGTACAAAAATCTTGTTCTGACGGAATCCTCCCCATGTACCCAGAAATGAAATTAATAGTTTCACTGTGTCCGATCACTATCTGATTTATGTTGAATAAGTTCTGAACTCAAGAGAGACAGATTACTCTTGCTGAATCAATAAATTTCTTATTTATTTTATTTCATTTGCAAAAAGGTCACACATCTCCCTTCAAAACGGCTTAAGACTTCCAAAACTACAATCTAAACCAGGAAGGGCAACTATAGCAATTTTATGTCCTGTGGACTTCAACTCCCAGAATTCCTGAGCCAGCCCTGTTAAATTCTGGGAGTTGAAGTCTATAAGTCATAAAGTCATAGTTGCCCATCTCTGATCTAAAATCCCTAAACCGGGACATAACCTTAACATACACGACCAGCCGGAATTTTTATTTTACCACAAGCCTTGTACTTTGAAAACCACGATTTTTGACTCCACCTCTTGGGGAATAAGAAAACATATTTTTTTCTAGAATAGATTATTTTTGACAGCCAGTTTAGACTAGTAGTTAAGGAGTTGGACGAGAAATCAGAAGAACACAAATTCTAGTCCTACCTTTGGTCCAATCACCAGGAGACTGTGAGTTCTAGTTTGACTTTAGGCATGCAAGCCACCTGGGTGACTTTGGGCCAATCACCAGGAGACTGAGAATTCTAGTCTCACCTTAGGCATGAAAGCTGGCTGGGTGACCTTGAGCCAATCACTCCCAGCCCAACTTATACCACAAGGCTGTTGTAGGAAACTAGGAGTTGGGTACATTCTATACATGGCCTTGAGTTGTGCAAACAAGGTGGAATATAAATCTATAATGCAGTTTTAGAAATGTGTGTAGCTGGAGGTTGAAATATTAGGCATTTGCAGAAGTAGGTTTTCTTCCTGAGACGTTTCACTCAGCTAATGTCAAAACACTTCACATTATTGAGTTTGGTCATAAAACATTGGCAAGAAGAAAACCAAGTACAAAGTAAACTCAGATTTGCTTCTGAGATCTGTGAATTGTAGAAAAACTAAAAAAATAAAAATAAATCCAAATGACTGGAACAGGCAACATGCTGATCCAAGAAAAGAGTCACATTAAATATTCCTCTATAACTTATTCCAAGTTTAGAGCAAATAAACTGCTATGTTAAAATATATTTTTGCAATGCAACAGATGCCTCTCTTAGTTTACTTTATTGTCGTACAACGAAATCAAACACCATCTTCAGTGCACATCATGACCATGAAAATAAACACAAACACACATCCTTCACCCTCCACGCATTGAACCAAAAAAACCCCAACACCGCACCAAAACATGCATTATACAGCAGAATTCAAAAGAGCTACTGCCCTGGGATAGAAGCTGTAGAACTGAAAAAGGCTGCTTTGACTATATTTACATCTCTGTTCAGGGCAGGAATCCAGATGAAAGCATTCACTACTGAAGAATTTACACCAGGCCAAGGAAGTGATAGTTATTTTAGAGGTCGCCTCTCTTAAGGAGTTCCATTTAGTGCAACCACTTCTCTGTGGTGGCTCCCTTTTTGTGGAACATAATCTGCAAGGAGGTTAAGATTGGCCTTGATACTCTTTGCAAAGGCCCTGAAGACATGGTTTTGTCAGTGAGCCTGGGATCCCAGGGTGATACGGAGCCCATCAAGTGGTTTGCTTGACTGTTGTCACCATGGGGGTTGCAGTGGGTTATTGGGTTTTGTATTTGAGCCTTTACTTCTGTAAACTGTCTGGAGTCACCATGAGTTGGCCAGTCATATATATTTTCTTAATAAGTAAAAATCCATCAGAGCTCACAGCCTTGCTTGGTCTTTGGATCTATTGTTGATTTGTTTTTACATTCAGATTTCCCCCCTAACATTTGCCCAGAATCTGAGATGTTAAATAACTGAACTATAATAATGCCCTTGACTGTCTTTTCCCAAGATTAATACACTCAGTCTCTCTTCATAAGATTTTCCAGTCCCGATATCTTTGTTGCCCTTCTCTGCAACTGTCTGTTTTTCCTGAATCTTCATTAAACTGCAATGCACACACATGACTTAAAGCAGATCTGAATAATGCAGATTACAACTGAAAGAGTACTTTCCGTGATCTGGAAGCTATTCCATCAATGCAGTGTGAAATTGCATTTTGTCAGGCACATCATGTTGCTGATTTCTATTTTCAGCTTGCGATCAACTGTCCTTGAGACTTGGGGTTGGTGGCTCAAAATGCTCCCAAATAGCTTAGTAGAACGGTGCTTCAATCAATTCCACAAGACTGGTGCAACTAGAGTCAACATGGAGTAGATCCAAATCAATTTTATTTCTCAAATGCTTCAAATATTCCCTGCAGTGGACTTGTAGGTATTTTTCCAGCCCTTTCTCAAGAGAGTTAGGGTTAAATTAAGGCCATTGGCTGGCAATTATCAGACATAGTAAGAACAAAGAAATGATTTGCCCGTTATAGTCACAAGGTAGTGCTTAATAAAGGCTCTTACTCATGTTGAACACTTATCTTTTCCCTGTAATGCACTGGGCAACTCTTCTCCTGTTTCATTTCTTGAAGTTCCTTGGAAACCCAGTGGACTCTGGGATCCAAGAGCAGGGAGAAGCCACCCAGAAACAATCTGATCCCAAACCATCATCACTCTTTCATTCCAAGTTATGACCAAGGCCTGAGTCAAATGATGTATCAGGGCCTCAAGAATAACTCCAGGCTCCCTCTGGAGTCCAAGTAGGTCTGTCAAGAGTCAGAACAGATTGAAGGAATAGGTTCACCCTCTAAAATGGAGAACTCCAAGCAGACACAGAATGGTATGTCCATGGCAAAGGGCTATGTTAATCTCTCCCATATTCAAATCATGTTGCCGCTGCCTCGAGGCAAAACCAGACCCAATGTATGATAAGGGTCTCCTCTTTGAGCAGGGGTTTGGACTAGAACAGGGCTCTCCAAACTTGGCAACTTTAAGGACTTGTGGATTTCAACTCCCAGAATTCCCCAGCCAGTATGGCTGGCTGAGGAATTCTGGGAATTGAAGTCCCCAAGTCTTAGTTGCCAAGTTTGGAGACCTCCAAGATCTCTTCCAACTCGTTGTTATTCTGTTCTGTTTTGATGCGAGAATGACCGATGTGCTAGGACCTCAATGACTTGGACAAGTCTATGGTTGCCATGATGACTATGAACTCCTAAGCAATCTATTTCGGGAACCAGAAAAAGCAGGTTGAAGTATTTTTAAGTCTAGAAAACTCCACTACCAACCCAGCGACCAGAGACTATGACAGAGAAGCAACTATGCAACAGACTGGAGTATTAGCAACCATCCCTATTGTCACTAGAGCCACAACAGGTTTGTTTTATCTGTTATTAGCAATGCAGTGTTCCAGAAAGCCACAAGAGTCCCTGGATGACAATAGCCATGCTTCTCCAGCACCTATCCAGCCGCTGCACTGATGCCATAGTTGAATTTATTTAAATGTAATGTAGGTGCAAGAGAGAGGATCCCCTGCCAATGCCCAACTAGGTCTCAGGTATACATGCCATGACATTTACACTTGCCAGGATATGTAACAGTGAAATCATGGGTGGGAAGGCCTTATTTCAAACAGACCAGGCATTCTGTAGGAGGAGCTAGAGACCAAAAACCTTTGAAGGTCCAATAACCAGGCATAAAGGAAGAGTCTTGGCAGAGGATGAGATGACTAGATAGCGTCATTGACACAATGAACATGAATTTGGGCAATATCTCGGATACAGGAGAGGACAGGGGAGACTGGCATACTATGGTCCATGGGTTTGTGAAGAATTAGACATGACTTAGCGATTGAACAACATTAAACAACTTGGGAACTGGAATGCTGACTAGAGTTAACTCATTAAAATCATCTTCCCCACAGGGAGCTGTTCCTAATCTCCTGCCATACCTTCCTTGCCTTATTGCCAGTGAAACACTTGCGACTTAACCCATCAAGCCCAACACATCAACTCTCATTAACTCATGCCAACCAGAGACCCGCCCAAACGCTAAGCCAACAGCCAATTAAAATGATGTTCATCAGGACACAAAGAGTCAAAATGACTGGCAACGGTATATATGAGTGCATATGTAGGTACTAATTGCCCCATATCTGATGAGAGGCAAATGATTTATGCCTAAGTTGTCACTTGAGTCAGGCAAGAACCTCAAAGTATCATGTGTTCTTGTTGGGAGCGAAATTGTTGAAGACTTATGATAAGTCAGCCATATTAGTTTTTGTGGTGACATCATGTGTCAACATCATATGATGGTGCCTAATACCTAAAAAAAGTCACTAAGTCTTCTGAAGGAGGTTTATTGATCATTATGACTCTTATTAAAAACTATCCACTAGAGGAGAAAAAAGATACCAAAGAAACCAACAGCTTTGTTTTACGGAGAGACTTGAAGTAAAGACTGACATCTAGTGACGGGCCACTGTATTAATCCTAAGTCATGTTTCCAGGATCCCTTGACAACAACAAAAATTCCTAATTGGAAATGTGAATTACAAGAGGGGACTTTTAAATCATGTTTGGTGGACATTCAAAAAAGCTATTTTGGTTTCAAATACTTAATCTAGAAGATATTAAAGATTGATATGCAACTGAAACTAGAGATGTTTCTTTGGGGACTGATTGTGATTCTGAAAAAGTTGGAAAAAATCTCTGGGAACTATTTTTTTATGTATAATTAACAGCAGTAAAACTTTTATACGCATAACAGGGGAAAGATTTGACAATACCTATAATGAAGAATGAATGGTGAAGATGGTGGAACTTGCTAAGATGATAAAATTGAGAGTTTTGATTAAAGACATTCATTTTAATGCTGATTGGAAACACTTTTAGACTTTTTGCATGTGACAGAAATGAAATGAAATTATGCTATATAGGTTTTGTGATTAGAAAACATTGTAGATGATATAAAAATGAATGGAACCTTAAAGTAAGGTTGAGTTTATTTATTTTTAAACCTGCTTTTATTTTTAATTAACTCAAGATGGTTAACATACATAATATTCCCTCCTCCACTTTTCCCCACAACAATCCTATTGTCATGCCCCTGTCAGAATCTGATTCCGATGGGGATGCCGAGCAGCAGACAGGGAGTGGGAGTGTGGCTCCATTGGCTGTGGAAGAAACTGGGGAAGGGCAAAGGCCAACTGGGCAGAGCAGGGGAGAGGTACAGCAAGGCAGAGGGAATTCAGAGGAAGATCCAGGCCCACCCCCTCTTCATCTTAGGGCACACAGGGAGGAATGGAAAAGGGAGCAACGTGAGTTGCATGGCTTATAGGGGAGGAAAGGGCCCTGATTCCCTTCATTAGCTGCAGCTGTGAACACAGTGTTTAAAAAGGGAGTTTGTGCACAGCAACTTGTTGGAAACAAATCGTGTATTATCTTGTTTTGTCGAGGCTTATCTGGGTTCCTGGCGTCTCAACTGTGTGTTTTGTTGGCCTTTGAAGTCTGCAATTCCTTATCCTGCCCTGTCGTTAATTGCTACAGCGTGGTTTATGTGGATTTTTATTTACAGTTTATATGTACTTTGTTTTCGGACTGAATTTCCTCCACTTAAAGACTGTTCTTGGGAGAGTTTTTTCTCCAGCTGAAGGTAACTGGACATTGGGGGCAAAGTTGGAGGTATTAAAGGGACTTTTCTTACTTATGTGACTGTGTTGCCTTTGTGCCATGCCCTAGGTCATCACACCTATGAGGTGGGTTGGCTTGAAAGAGAGTGACTGGCCCAAAGCCACCCAACCAGCTTTTATGCCTAAGGCAGGACTAGAACTTACTGTATCCTAGTGATTGGCCCAAAGTGACCCAACCAGCTTTCAGGCCTAAGGCAGAACTAAAACTTATAGTCTCCTGGTTTCTAGCCACTAGACCAAACTGGCTCTCTTTAGCGTCATACATATTCAAAAGTAAAGTTTTATTTTCTAAGTTCATTTTTATTTGCTGCAACACAATTTAACATTATTCCAACTTTGACCATGGTAATATACAAATAACATGGGAAATCTATATACATACTTTAATTCTTCATTCTTCTTCATAGTTCTAACTGGCAAATTCTTGCACAAAATCAGAGAGTTTCAGCACAAAACCCCAGCCCGCATTTGCCTTCATACTAATAAAGTCATGCAGATTCATCTTGCAATCTTAAAAGAAAAAAAGAAGAAAGCATTGAAGTTTTTTGAACCAGAGAAAATATTGTCTGCTTTAGAGAAAAGAGGCTGCGCTTTCAGTTTTCTTCTTCTAAGACTCATTTCCTGATGGCAAAGCTAACATTGCTCCATGAAGGAAATTGAGTCCTCCAGACTCTAGTTGTCCTTTAAGCCACCATGACAGAAGTCGGATGAGCTTAAAGTTTGGAAGAAAATAGCTCAGGATAGATCCATATCTAAACTCTAGCAGAGTAAGGAAGGAGCTGAGTAAAGAACTGGGTTGCTGAAACTACAAATATGAGATTAATAAGACTAAGAAAGTGCAGTACCTACTCTCTGAATTTGGAATCTTCTGATTAGTGTTTCTCAGGCTGGCTGGGGAATTCTGGGAGTTGAAGTCCACACATCCTAAAGTTGCCATGGTTGAGAAACACTGTTCTGGATACAAAGCATTTGCTGCACCAAGTCTTGGAGATAATCATGAGTCCCTATGAATCAAGCTCAATTTGGACACATTGCTCTACACTGTACAAACTCAACCAATTAAGGCTTATTTGATAGAAACAAACCACACCTTATTCCAATGTTTAAACTCAGTATTAACAGGAGATCTACTGTTGTTTGGGTGTCTAAAATTAATATTTGTGATTTACCTGCAGTTTCAATACATGGATATAGGGGAGGAGTTTTCAGCCAGTTCCCACTAGCATTTTTCATGTGCGATCGGTCGGAAGCAAAAGTCTTCAGATACATATCAGCTCGAACCAATCTGACTTTCCTAAGGAAGACAAACATTTGCAATAATTGATCAGAGTTGCCTTTCCCAGAAAGCAGAAGGAAGACTGAGTCCCCACAAGCGTTTTTCAGTTACAGCTACATCAAGTATTAAATTGCTGTTCAGCTTCAGACTCACCTTATGTTAATTAACTACAAATGGCTGACATTTTACATTAAATAGGAATATTTTACAGGTAAGTGTAAATTTAAGCCAAAAGTGAAATACAAGGAATTCTATACATATGAAAGAAGCCCTTTGGATAAATTTGCTAACCCTGCCAAACTATAAAGTGCTTTGCTTGGTCCAGGAGTTGTGTCAATCTGCAAGCCAGAGTTTATACCTACCCACAAGCCACAGTTTATACTACTGCATGGTGGCTAATGCAGTCAAGTTACAGGTGGTTCCTGCATATTATGGTGGTTAATTGAAAAGGCCTTGCTTTAATGATCCCACTCTCTGCTCTCCCCATAACAATTGTTAAATGAATATGAGGATTGTTAAATGGAGCAAAGGGTACCTCAGGGATGGGAGAGCCCTGAGATGCCTATACAAATTTGGCAATGAGTTTGCTGTGAGGCTGAGGCTGTAAGAAAGCTAATCCTGTACCAGCATGCAAGCTGGCTGGTCTCTCCTTGCTTGCCGGAGGTGAGTACTACAGCATCCGAGGCCAAATGACTGTGAGGATGGTATGGCCACTGTAACTTTGAAACTTGTAAGTAGCTTTTGGGGAGCCTGTACAGTAGCTAAGTGGCCAGTTGTAAGTCAAGGACTACCTGTATGATTAAGTAAGCAATGGTCTTGGTACAATTCTTAAGCTACAGATTCAGTGGGACTTAATTCTAGGTTACAGATTGTAAGAGGTAACTAAATGCTATTGAAGAGAACTTAATATCTGTCATTAAGTGTTGTACCTTATGATTCTCGATGAATGTATCCTTTCTTTTTATGCACACTAAGAGCATATGCACCAAGACAAATTCCTTGTGTGTCTAATCACACTTGGCCAATAAAGAATTCATTCATTTAAATGCTATTGAAGAGAACTTATTTTGGAAATATAACTACATCATTTTATGTTCTGGATTTAAAGTAAAACAAAGGTTTAAAAATTGAGCTATTCATTTCATCGGATGCATTTCTGGCATTAGTGCAATAAGATTTTACTACTTCACATATACTCCATTAACAGATTAATAGAACTCTGCACCTCATATTTATTTTTATGATGATCATAGAGAACTTTCCACTTCTTCAGGCTGATGCAATAACAATCTCAAATTATGAACTGAAATGTAACATGTCAGGCTAACTTCGGCACCCATGTCTTACTGCTATTAAAGCTATGGTGGGAATGTTTGTGATTGATATCCCCACCTTCGAAATTCAGCGTTGATAATGCTGTCCGATTTGAAAGCCTCTTCAACGTAAGTGCCAAAAGGGCATGGAAAAGGTAAGACAGTATCAAGATCATAGATAAAGTTCTGGTCTCTGTTCGACACATGTAGCAAAATAACATGGTAATCCTGAAAAGATGGAGAATGAGAACCTGTGATGATTACAGAGGAAGTTGGGAAAAAAAACACTACATGTAAAAATCCAACTCAACAATATGTTATATAATTTATTCATTTTTAGTTTATTGGATTCCTTCACAGGTCTGGTATACAAGAATGCTAGCCAGCTGAATCATAGAATGTATTATTCTAAAGCAGGGGTCCCCAAACTTGACAACTTTAAGACTTGTGGACTTCAACTCCCAGAATTCTCCAGCCAGCTGGTGGAGAATTCTGGGAATTGAAGTCCACAAGTCTTAAAGTTGCCACGTTTGGAGACCTCTGTTCTAAAGAGTTTAGCATGCATTATTTGAGCATTTTGTCATTGTCCTGGTGCAAAGCAGCCCAGGATCTAAGCTAAAAAGTCAAATATAGCTAAAATATGTATGAGATTTAAGATTTCATGTCACCATTTGCACAGGAAAGCAAGTAAACCAAAAATGTCTGTTTCATTCAAATCAGTAAACTACAATTAATCATTTTAGAACTAACCAAGATTATATCAATATCAAAACAAGGTTTAACAGCCTTTTGGTCTTGGTGATTTTTCTAATGCAAATAAACCAGGAAACACATTCCTAGTTTAATATATGCAGCTGGTTTATGGAATGAATTCCTATTTTAAAAAACCCATTCATAAGTCAGCACATTAAGCTACAATCTGATCACCCAAATAGAACAGCTGAAAATGACAGGACTTCAAATTGAACTCATCCAGAGGACATTGTTGTTCATCAGATGTATCTCCTGCCTTTCGTTTAGGACTTCAAGGTAGCATGCACAGTGTTCCTTCTTCCCATTTCCCCCCAAACAGTGACCTGTATCACAAATATACAGGTTGGCTGAGCCAGAGTGATTGGCCCAGTCATCCAGTGAACTTCTATGGTTGAGTATAGACTAGATCAGGTCTCCAAACTTGGCAACTTTAAGACTTGTGGACTTCAACTCCCAGAATTCCTCAGCCAGCTACGCTGGGAGTTGAACTCCACAAGTCTTAAAGTTGCCAAGTTTGGGGACCCCTGGAGTAGATCTTGGTATCTCTACTCCTGGGTCCACCAACTTAAACCCCATACTGGCTGAAGAAACATTTTAAAATCACATTGGGTTACATTGGACTGAACGCATTTCACTGATCTGGTTGTCATAGATACATTTAAAAAACAATTGCATGGTAGGGGCAGTGGGAAATGGGGCAAAGAAAATGTAGATTTATTCACCCAGATCACAGGCTGACCTTCACATCCTGCCTGCTGCTTCCAAAGTGGTACCTGCAGGTTACAAAGAACATAGTTAAAGTAATTTAATGTCTAAGACTCCCATCATTTAATAGCTAATACATTTTCAACAAATGCTATGTAAATACCCAAGGGTATTTTTTGTGGCTGTAACATCTACTATACAAATTATTCTTCTGGCATCATAAGCTCAATAGTTTTCTCCCTTCAAAAACATGACAGTGAAATAAATGCCTATCCTTTTCTTATGTCCAGCATTCATTTCCCTACTGTTCCTTCTACAACTCCTCTCTGCCTGCTTTTATTTTGTAAAATATGCATTGTTTGAACAGATTGCATTGTTCAGATAACACAGTAACAATAACAAAGGCACTCTTTTGCCTTTCAAAGATTTTGAAGGCCTTTCCCCAGCCATTTATTCTGCTACATTGGATTATATTTACATAGTTAGCTAAGCGAATGATTAACTAGGTAGAGTTCTTGGTTCTAGCAGTACACAAGCACACTAGCTGGGTCAATAACTTCCACCTGGGGAAACACCAATAGCTCAACATGTGACCTATTGTCGCAAAACAGTATTGCCAAACATCAATGACCCTTCCCTATTGGCTAAGTCAGCAGCATCCTACAAAACTTGTGTGTTTGGGAACTGTGTCATGTGACTGCCAGACCTCTGTAGTGAGTTTTGCATTAGAGTAAATTACATTTATGGCTATTCTACACTACCACCTCATTTCTTTGGAGGACTGAATGAACGAATCCCCCAGTGTGTACAACATGGCAGATCAGGAAAGATAATTTGACTCAAATTGTTCAGGTACAATTTGGGCTTAGAACTGTGACTCTCCAGCCCCAGTACTGACTAGGTTACTGTGTTCATACGACATGCTGCACTGCTGGTTAAGCAGAATACCTGAACTGTATCACTATGATCTGCATCAGGATTATAAGTTGTAATTTACCTGTACTGCAGCCACAACCCCACTTTTAAAACTGTTGGAATTTTAAGCAAGCTACAGTTGATAAAATAGAAATATAGGAAGAAGACGTGTGTTTTATTATCCTTGTTGGATTGAGAAAGTATATCTACAACTACATTTTTATGAAAACTGGAACAGAATTTCTGCTAAGCAGAATTTTTATTTTATTCATCTGTATCCTGTTTATTATTTTTACAAATAACTCAATGTGATGACCACATCCAACACACCTTCCTATTTTCCTACAACCCTGTGAGGTGAGATGGGCTGAGAGTATGTGACAAGGTCACCCATCTGGCTTTCACAGCTAAGACTGCACTGGAACTCATGGTCTATGACTCTCTAGCCATCTAGCTTTAATTGTTAGACCAAAATGGCTCTTATTATGCTCTTAGAATTGTCAGCAATGGGATGAGGGGAATCTAAAGCTTCATACAGCTTTTGATCCTAACATTTAAGGGAGTTTTTTTGTTTTTGCTCCACTGACACATCCCAACTCACCATCTTTCTGTCATTGGAAATGAAAACAGCATAAAATTCTTCTAAGGGGTATTGATTCTTGTTTCGGATATGTTCACAAAGTTTCCAGATATTTTCTTCACTATAGAGAAATAAAAACATAAGCTCACATGCTTTCAAATTTCTGTGTTTTTCTGGATCTAAAATCTTAATTTTTCAAGGTTATTCTGCATTCCCACATTTTATTCAATCCACTCTCTCCTCTACATAATTGTACGTAGCTTTTGGGGAGCCTAAATTACCTGGAATCAGGATTTAATTCTGCCAGGGTATACATTTTGTATACACATACCTTTTTACCAGAGATACCAAAGGGTATCTTTGAAGATGTAACATCAATTTGCCTAAATAGGCTCGTTTTATATTACAGTGACTAACTGTAATATGTTGTGTTATTTTGCATCTATTTATCAGCATCTAATAAGTCAAAATGTTCTTTCAAAAAATTTTCCGGATTGTTTGGAGGGCTGGAGGAACTTTTGACAGACTGGCATCGGCTGTCCTATTAAGACTTTCTGGAACTATAACGGCGATCGCCGGGTTTTATAATAGGGGCACCCTTTCTTACCAATAGCAGCTCGTATAGACGCAAACGGAGCGAGAAGAGACGACTGGGTCATAGCCGGCCAGGACGGCCTCCGCCATTGAAGCCCGTTGTTTTCTGGCCAAGGGAAAGGATTAAGAGGTACATTTCCCGGAGAAAGCCTGAACAAGAAGCCGCTCGTCTCTGGCATCGAAAAGCGGTTGAAGAAGCATTGCTCCACGCATGCGGTTCCAAACGTCCTGGGGGGACGCGTTACAAAGAACGCCTTCCCCCGGAAACGCGGCTGCATTGCAAGGCTGCTCGACCCGACCGAGCCAAAAGGAGACGAAGCAGTTAAACCACATTGTGACAACTCTAGTCTGCGTGTGCTTAGAATTATATTCTGTCCAGTTCGCCCCTAAAGGCGCCACCAAATCTTTTATTAGGGCAAACACTTTCTTAGGCGAAGGCAGAAGCCGCAAATTAACAAAGTGCTTTATAGTTTTCGAGTTAGTTTCAGTCAAACTAATCAAAGAGAGAAGCAACCTGGAATTAAGGAGAAACTTCTTCCTAACAGTGGGGACAATTAACCAGTGGAACAACTTGCCTCCAGGAATAGTGGGTGCTCCATCACTGGATGTTTTAAAGAAGAGTTTAGTCAGTCACTTATCTGAAATGATATAGGTTCTCCTGCTTAAGCAGGGGGCTGGACTACAAGACCTCCAAGGTCCCTTCCAGCTCTATTCTATTCTATGGAGCCCGATTTTCCCACCCTCTTCCCTCCCGTTTTACTGCAACATTGTTTAGAAGTGCTCATAAGTAAAGGAGGGTCTGTTTCATCGTTATGTCTCTAGTCATGGCTAAAGTTACAAGCATAAACATCAGACTCTAAATCCGATCCCTTCTGTGTTGGAACTACAATTTGCAATTTTTTGGGCTATTGGAAAGTCTGGAAATTGTCCCTCGGACACATAAAGGTCGCTAAGTCGGAGACGTTTATTTTACTCTTGCCTAGGAATAAAGCCTCAGAAGTACTTCTAAATAGCATTTCATGGACAGCCAAGAAAATAAACCAATGGATTGATAAATAGTTCAACCAGAGTTCTCACTGGAGGCACAAATGACTAGGCTCCAATTATTATTCTGGGGATACATTATGCAAAGATCCAGCTCTCTGGAAATGGATCTAACACTGGGAAAGATAGAAGAGAGTGAGATCACTTGCTTTTTCATTCTTGCCAGCTTTTATTTTTATGCTGTATAGGTTTTATTATTTGATTGTTAGCCGCCCACAGTTGTTGAAAGTTGTACTACATACCGGTAATTTAATTCATCATCACCTTGGAAAACCAAATGGAAAAGGGCTTTTAATTTTCAGGAGAACCTAAAAAAATAAACGTGTAAAATACAACCCCAACAAAATATTTGCTGCTGTTACTATTAATGCATCATGTAAATAAGCCATGTGATTCTACCGTTTAAGTAGTTCTGCAGGGCTTTGCTTCTGTGTCTTTAACAACCGGCAGATATGTAGAAATCAAACAGGTGAAGCCTTTTCCTGGCAGGAAGGTAAAGTAATTAGCCAAGTCCCCGCCTGTTGCCTGAAAGAGAATAAAGGCTGTAGAGAAGAGTCAGCTTTCTGATAGGATTAAGAAAAACAGTTCACTTGGGAATCAACGTTCCTGCCTGACTCCACCAACGTCTCTTTAGTAAGAAAACATTTCCAATTATTTTTAATTGCTGTGGGAGGACTGCTTGGTTCTGGAATAAAATTAAGGGGATGCCACTTTGCTTAGTGTCCTGATTCTATACATTGTGCAAACCCCTGGATGCAACTTGGCTCTACTTGGCTCCATAGGAGCAGTAAGGAGATTTAGTAATCCCAGCAATCCAAACATCCCATGGTGGGACTATAAAGCTGTATATTTGGAGAGGAGCTAGTTTTTGTCTTTTAGCAGAAAATTAACTTTGATGGGCCACCCTAGTCCAATTCAGTGCTGTGTGCCATTCCAATGTATTGCTAAGAAGCAAAATTATTTTGACTTTACAGGCCAATAGGAACTGACTGTGAAAAGAAGTGGGGCCTCCTTATACAAGAGTTGATCCTCTGGTTGATTACAATCTGAATTGTGCAATTGTGTAAAAGAATAGTAAAATGGTGGGCGATTCCTTCACGGGAGTGTCTTTAGAGGCAAAAGGAGGATTAAGTGATTTTATTTTTGCAGCGGATATTTTTAACTGGCTGTGACCGAAGCAAGAACTTTTATTTTTTTCAGATGGAAACTGTCTTGGCACCTTTCGTTTGCGGGAAAGGATTGCATTCCCCCCCTTCTGCTTCTCGAACAGCAGATGCAAAATTATATGGGAAACGCGATTCTTTTTCTTCCCCAAAAAACCATTTTGGCGATAACGAGCAAAACCTTTACATGCTTAGTTCAAAATGCGCGTTGACAACCGCGCTTAAAAAGGCTTCTTCTGGTAATTGATGTATTCCGGTTAGTTTAGCGGGCAAGAGATTGCAGTGCATAGGCTTTGAAATATAGGTTGGAGGGTGCCATCAGAATAGTGTTTTGTCCTTGCCCTTGCGAGTACATCGCATACAAGTGCAACTTTATGTGGATTCCTAGAGGACGTATACATGTGAATTTTGGCGACTTTCCAAGCATAGAGTGAGCTGGTTGTGTTGATATAGAAAACGCGCCTTTCTCAGGGAGTCGTGCAAGTTTTAAACGTTTTCTATTTGAGCGCCTCGCGGGCAGCAGCAGCAGCAAACCGCCGCGCGCCACAGCGCCGACCAATCAGAGCGAAGGAAAACAAGCCGCAATTCCAAGTTGCCACGCGCCAAAAACTTTCAGTCGCGGGCCGCGCGCCGTCTCCTTCCGCGGCCGTGGCTCTATTTAACGGGAGGGAGAACTAGCGCCGAGACAGAAGTGATCTCGCCGAACGTAACCTCGTCAGCAGAGGCCGTCCCAGGCCCTCTGAATCGGGACGGATCGCTGAGCAGCGGCTTGGATGAAAATTAACCCCGCCGGAAAGAAGGACGGAGCGGCGGAAGGATCCGAGGACGGTTGGTGACGAGATGGCGCTCGGGCTTGTGGCGCCAGAATTCAGAGGCGGTTGAGGGGAGGCGAACGCGATGGTGGTGCTCCGCAGCGGTTCGGGCGGCTCTGGCCGCCCCGAGCCTCATAGCAGAGGCGGGACCTCTTCGAGATCCCCGCAGTCTCTCTACGAAACGATGGAATCGAGTTCGGAGTTTCTCACTTTGAGCATCCCGACTTCGTCTCGCAGGAAACGCTCGGTGGGAAACCAATCCCTCGGAGCGCCCACCGGGGATCCACCCGCCGATCGGAAAGCCCGGACGGTGAGTTTGGAGAGGGGAGAACGAAACAGGAACGAGCGCGGGGTTCAAAATACAGGCCGGCGGATTCCCGGGGTGAGGTAGGGATCAATCCTGCGGTTGAGGAGTTTATTGGGTACAAAAATGGATATATAAAGAAAGAGAATGCAGCTTTGTCTCACGCTTGGCCAGTCTGGTGCCAGTCGGTTTGTCCACTTTCTGATCTGTAGACAGGTTTCCATGAGGATAATTGGAATCAATTTCCATTTTCCTGAGCACCTTCCACAGTTAGTTTAACGTGATCAGTATAATCAGAGGCCTTTGGGCAAAACTCACAATGACTTAATTTGGGCATTCTTTGGCTTTTTCTCCTTTGCCATAATGCCTTTTCTAACATCTGGTTGAACATCTGGCATCTTCCTTTCCAGTTTCATCAGCTTTTGGATGGTCCCAAGCATTTGGCTAGCTTGTGGAGTTAAGGGTATTGTAACCTTTATGGCTTTTTTTTTTGAAGGGGGGCGATATTGATAGGTGGAACGTCAACCTCTTTCAGGTAGACCAGTTCTGGAAATCCTATCCATAAGGAAGACTAGAACTATATTTTATTGGCATAGATTGTAATAACAGAATCCTGCAGGTCTGATTGTGATGTCCAACTTCTTATATTGGGATGAATCAGGGAGCTTCTAAATATCTCCTTTCTCTGGACTTAAAAAAAAAAAAAAAAATTCGGCCCCTTTGTTTAATGTTTAATATTTCCATCAAGGTCATTTTTTCTTACTCCTTATAACTGACCTTCCAATTTCTTAGCCACTGTGATGTTCTCCATATTAGCTGGCATTACTTGGTTAGAACTTTTACTAACTTTTCTATTGCTGACTTTATTTTTGTAACTATTCCATCCGCTCTCAAACTCTTCCAGCTTGGTAATAGCTGAAGTGGTGATTCCAGCTTAGAAGCCTTTTTGATTCAGTTTTGTTTTAAACGAAGTACTTCTGCTGGATATAAAAAGAAAGACAAGGAATCCTATATTTGTGTTAGGCTACAGAAGTACTGGATTGTAACTTCTTTATTTGAAGAATTTTTCATCAAGAATTTAGGTTTGAAAAGGAGTGGTGGTTAATCTGCCTCCCAACTACAATTGAGCTGCATTTATATGGTTGCATGAATCACTAAAGAGCCTTTAGTCATGTAAATTGGGGTTTTTATCCGGTACACAGATCTTAGCTTGTTTACCTAACAAGAGAATAGCCTCTATATACACTGGATTGGTATGTTGAGAACTTTATTGTTCCATCAGGGAATTTGTGATAATCATTTTTAAAAATGAAATTTTTTTTATCAGGAAGTGCTAAACAAGCAGCCAACATAATTTGGTTAGCCAAAAAATACAGCAGCCAGTTATTTCAGCTAATTAATTTTATTGTGATGGGTAATTGCATATAATAGAATTTGATATATTGGCTTATAAAACATCCCACAGGAGTAACACACTAAACATTTAACTGTTTTATAGCTTTTAACTGTCACACACCCACTTTTCCTCATGCATAAAGGTACACATCAATTCATGGAAGTAGTAAAATAGCCTATTTTAATCTGGAGAAGAGAGGTTGATTTCTGATCTCTACAATTTTATAATAAACTTTTTAGGTTGCAATTTTGTACACTATTGAAAGTAAAACTCCCTAGCACTACAAGGTTACACTGTTTTTAGACTGCCAAAAATATGTTATGTTGCAGCATCTGCTTTGGAGTTTGATGTTAAAACATACAAGTAACAATGATAGAAAAACAATCAAATGTTCACCTCTAGAAAAAATGAAATCAACTTAAAGCATTGTGATTAAACATCTTCATTTTCAGCAACTTATAGTATGATAAAGTTAATTTGAAATAAAGTTAAAATAAAGTTAATTTGAAATTGACAATGTTTTGGACATGTGAAAATTTGAAGAAGCTCATGAACAGATTTAAACTAATATATATGCAATGGTACTGTAGAAAGTCAGCACCTACCCCCAGAAGAATGAAACATTTGGGAAGTATTAAAAGGCAGAATATTATATTTCCCTAAAGAAGAAATATGTTCTTAAAGCAGACTCAGTCTTTCTTAATAGGCCCCAAGAAGAAACTGAGGAGGCCACCTTTAGAAATGCAGATTCGGTAATCCATTCAGAAAGACTGGGTCAAGACTGAAACTCAGATAAGCAACACAAAAAAAAGGTTGACAAAATTAGCTCAGACAAGTACCTAGAATTTGCATTTCCTCTTTTGCCTATCGAGTCAGCTATGACCCCATAGGAATCTGACAACAGCCAATAGAATATTAAAGGACAGGAACAAGAAGCTCAAATACAAAACCCAAAGAAAGTATAAAAACCCACCCACTTTCAACTCCATTTGGTCAGCTGTCCAGAATCATATGTGGTTCTTCATCAATAAACCATCTTTCCAATCAGCCTCCATGTTTCCAGTGTCTCCCAGCTTGGCACTGAACCAAATGGATTTTTCTTCTAACAGTACATTTAAAATTAAGCACAGAATGTAATTGGGAAACTGATTTTTAAAAATACTCATAAAATTAACAGATATGTTAATTTCTGATTTTTAATACACTTTTCTATTGTAGAGAATATTCCAACGTATTTTATTTCTAAAGTTATTAAAATATATGCCCCAGTCTGCTATCTGCCTCTAAGAAGAGATTATTTCAGAGAACTAAGTAATCTACAAAGTCTTGTTCTGAGTAGCAGGACTGAAGAGTACCTGTTCTAAATATAAAATAAACTATGTTTATTAAATAAGTGTCAGAATGATTGGATAATTAACAATTCAAATAAAAAAGTGAATTACAAACATAAAATAAGTTGCCTCAGATAATGTGTTACATACATGTGATAGAGGGTTGCCAAATGTTCTGCAAGAATATGGAATTGAAGGTTCTACATTGATTACCGAACTTGCTTTTAATGAATCATTTTTACCTGTTCTGAGCCATCTGTTCTGATGCAATAAGAACTGTATATGGTAAATCATGCATAAATGGAACTGTGGTAAATCATGCATAAATGGAATTCTTAGTGATTGATTCCTTATTCAACAGGTCATAAGACAGGAATATAAATTTTCTCCTTAATTAATTTTTGGATAATATAAGAATACCAGAGGTATATTAGTTGGAGTTGTGAATATATATATACAACTTAATTTTGTTTTTGTCTTTTAAAACTTAAGCAGCTCAAGACATGGTCACTTGAGAGATCACTTCTCTTGCTATCTTTACTTTTTTTTAATCTCTATTAAATCAGTATTAATGTGCATAAATATTTCAAATAAAGTTGGTACACATCAGAATTAGAACATAATTAACTGTTCTTAATTATCCTTATTGTACTGCTTCAGGAGTTCTCTTCAGACAAAGAAAGTAGGCATTTCACAAGGCAGCACACCTTAAGATCTATGAGGAAAAATAATCCGCATTATTCAAGTCCTAGCTTTGACAAAAAGATGTCAACACTGATTGAGAATGGGATTAACAGGAAACACTTTACAAGGTATTTTTTTCTTTTATCGATCACATGGTAAAATTATGTTGTACTTGGATCTTTTAGAGCACAGCAGTGTTATAGGGCTTGGAAATAATTTTCTGATTAAAAACCTACTTATTTTCTAAGAACAGCTTATAGAACAAAAAAATAAATAAAAAATAGTACATTCTAAAAAGTGTTTATCGTAACTAAGAAAAGCACAAATGTTTTTAAAAGGTATTTGAAAAATTAGCAAATTAAAAAGATACTTTATATTTTATCTTTTACAATACTGTTAGAACATTTTAATTTTGTTGTATCCTTTGAAAAACCACATTGCTGCATTTCTTTTCTTTTTTTCAAATTGGAAGACCATGTTCTACAATACAGCTGTAATTCAGTGAAAACTAAAACTACATAACCAGTTTTCAGTAAGATGTTTTTTGCTTTTGAATAAACAAAAACTATCTCCAAAACCAGAAAAACTCTGAAAAAACAGAATTTAAAAAATACAGATAGTAGAGGCAAGGCAACAAAGTAAATGAAAACTGGAATAATCATAGTAAGTAAGGAAGTATATAGAAACTCAAACAGCACAAACCATTTTATTTTAAGTCCCCTTGATTCTTCTGATACTAAATCTTACTCTAGTACTGACCCAAATGAAAGCTATAAATTAGACGTCAAGCTGATAAAATCTTGATATTTTTGCTTGTGTGCAGACAACTGGCTAGAATGCAGGCAGGTGGAAAGAATGAAGATGGTGAAGAAGGTAAATCTAGTAAAATACACATTCTGTTGGTTGTGGATAGGCTGCAGAGGTTCCAATACATTGACTGAAATTTCTGATTCAGAGAATTATTTATTACAAAGCATCCTTGGCAGTGGTATTCTACTGGTTCTGCCAAGCCAGTAGCAGCGATGAGCAGCAGAGACTGAACCGGTTCTCCACTGCTCTGCTGTTGGGCCCACCCGCCCGCTTGGGCTCCCATACTCATCTTTATCCTCTGCTTTTGAAGCTGAAGCGACCGGGAGAATGCAGGCTTGCAGGAGGTGAGTTGGAACGCCTCTGCACCTGCGCAAAGTGTGCAAAGTGCGCCCACCAAGCCACACCCATCGAACCTGTGGTAAAAATATTTGAATCCCACCACTGATTCTTGGGTTTGCTTTTACAAAGGTGGCCTTGGTGGCTGGAGGTTTGAAATACACAAAACATTTTATTTCTGCCAAACCATGTTCAAACTAGGAGGGAGGATGCACATTTCCAGTATTTTAGTTTGTATAAAATATAGAAGTTGATTTTTTTTCCCCAGGCAGAAGTTGGGTGGCAAAAGGGAGAGGAAAGGAAGAAAGATTGGAGACATGGTGTGATAGCAATGGCTGAAAGAGGGAAGGATGTGTCCCCCCAGCATTGCAGAGGGGAGACAAGGAACGTTTATACTTCAACCTTGTCACTCCTTGCTTAGCTGGATGTTGTTTCAACTGAAATCTGGAAATTAGTCAAAACCTCTTGAGATTTGCTTGTGCCAAAATGTAGCTTCAAAGATTTTAATGAATTTATCGGTACATTGGTTAGTAATCAATCTACATGCTATTCATATTTTTTCTTTTTTGTCCTCTCAAATATCTTACTATGTATTATTTTCAGCCTCTTGTACCAAAGCCTATACCTTAGAACAGTGTTCTTTAGAACAGTGATCAAAAAATCCCTGAGTCCCTCCACACTATCAAAGAGGTTCACAGTATCAAAATTATTTGCCAAGTATCGAAAATTTAAAATAATGTCACGCTTCTCATTTTTATTTGATAATAAAAGGTTTTTTTAAAAAATAAACACTTTGTTAATGTTTAATGAGTTATTATTTTCCATGGTTCAGTAAATACATATACAAATGGATGCATTTTAATTTTGTAATTAACTAAAAGTAATTATGCGAATTAGTTTCTGAAAAGGAATTAAGATGTTTCAGAGAAGCTGCACAGCAAATGGCCATAGTGGTAGGGATAATATTGTGGAATAGAAACAGTTAATGTGGAGATGTGCAGCTGAAACTGAAAAGTAGATTAAAAAATCATAAGGGTGGAATGTATATATGTCTATTCCTACCTGGACTCCCATTCACGTAGTGTCAAGCTCTTAAGGTTTTCTGATTTCCTACCACCACGGCGACCTTTAGTGCCTTGTGCTATGCCATTCAACAAAAATTTGTTGCAATCGGGATAAGTCAGCTTTGTGAAAAGTTAAGTAGAAGCGTGCAGTAGAAAAAAGACTGGAAAAGAAAACTATTATTTTAGATACAAAGTTAACTTCATTATTGTGATAAATAACAAAGTATTTTTGTTTCCATTGAGAAAGTTACCCTTAAACTGAAATGCTACTAATTTTATATGGATGAGATATGTGGGTGGGGAATGCTTGTCAAATTTACAGGCAATTCAGATATTCTGGGGAACTGTATTCTTGAAGACATAAACACAATTTTAAAAAAGATCTCAATGTGAAGATTAAAAGTGAAGCAAAATTTAATTGAGATGATCCTTAATTTAGGAAGCAAGCTGAGTGCAACAAAGGAAAATTCTTTATTTTCCCGTAGGAGCTGTAGTTCCCGTAACCAGATCCCTGAAAAAAGGAGTAGATGGGAAGCCTGAAGAACATGTTGCAGAAGAAAATGGCGATGTTGAAGTCCGTCGCAGTTGCAGAATTAGACGAAGTCGCTATAGTACTATGAACCAGTCAGTTCTGTTTGACAGACTAATTACAAAGTAAGGTTTTATCTTTTTATTTCTTCCATAATTGATTGACCCTTCTATAAAAAATAGGAAGCTCTTGTTGATTAATGGCTCTTCCTTTTTGTATATTGGAAGTGGCAAGCATTTTGGAAGACCACAAACTGAAGAGTCATATCACATGGAAGGGTAGAGTTCTGCTTCCAGGGGCAGTTTTTTGCTTGTTAAACAGACACTTTTAAGAACTAAATACAGGCAGTCTTCAACTTACAACAGTTCATTTAGTGACTGTTCAACTGTGTCCATTACATTGAAAAAAGTGACTTATGACTGTTTTTCATATTTATGACCATTGCAGCATATTTCCATGGTCATGTGACCAAAATTCAGCCACTTGGGAGTTGCTTCATAAAATGGGGCAACATTCACTTAACTGTCATTTAGAAACATATTTTGGGCTCAATTATGGTTGTAAATGTAGGACTATCTGTAGTGTGGTGCCTATGTACATTGGTTTTTTTCACAAGGTATTTTGTTTGTAGTAGATCCTTACACCATCTAACTTAAATAAGCTAATAAAATCAAAATAGGATGTTGGAATGCTACATAGCAAACACCAATAGTTGCTTTGCTAAATTGAGCATGGAATATTCTGGATACCTCTAGAATATTCCCTCGTTACCCACTGATTATGTTTTTTTCTGGGAGTAGTTTGGCACTTTTATGAACTAAGTTCTCTGACTAGAATTAGTCGGAGATGTCTGGAAAGTGGCTTTAAAATGTCCCTGAGTTTTGCAGATCCACATTATTTGTTTTCTGGTAAATGAGTGCTTATGATTAACCATACCTGCCATGATAATCATTCTCTCAGAGTACCTACCATATACTCTCAAATTTCCAAATACATCGAAAAATATTACTTATACATACATTACAATTTTAGTTTTTCTTTTTCCACTCCAAAATGGCAGGAAATTTTGTATTTGGTGTTTTTATAACAGAAGGAATTCCAAGAGTAAGGAAAAGGGCAAACTTTCTGGAAAGGGCAGCATGAAAATGAACAAAGAAACAAACAAGCAAGTAGTGCCATTATTGCTTGTCTGTTGATATACACAGGATTGGATCTGCATTTATCAATAGTTCTAGCTTTCTATGAACTGAAGGTAGAATATTGTGGCATTCTTTGTTTAACTGGTTCTTTGTTAATATTTTGTTTAATTATATGTTGCAAACTTTGTCAGCACTGCAGAAGCTGTACTACAAAAAATGGATGATATGAAGAAGATGCGCCGTAGACGAATGATGGAAGATCTTGGGGTGTTCAATGGTAGAGAAGGAGTAAGTGTACATTCATTATTGTGGAGGTACCAATATTTTTATTGCTTTTGCTTTGATAGTTTGAACATAACCTGAGCAAATTCTATGCAATTCTAAGATGCACTTTATAACTGCAGGATATATATATATATATATATATATATTTCCAAATCATTAAACTAGAAGTGCTTTGGAAGTGGCTGTGAGCTATCTCTGCATCCTCAAAGTAGATCAGGCCAAGGCCAAACACATGTGCAAGTAACCAGTAGTGGCTTCAGAAGCAGTTGTGTGAAATAAATGCAGCTCAGAAAAATGTGTATCTGTATATTATGAAACATCTTTTTGAACAGATTGGCACAGTCCAATAATTGTACTGATTCCATTTACTGTATCCTGAAATTGACGCAGAAGCATCATGTAATGGCGGGTTACTTGAATGAGATCTTATGCTATTTCCAGGGAAACCTTGATATATACTCCAGAGGGAAACCTGCTATCCAAAGGACTGATGAAGAAACCTCTGATAATCAAGATGGAAGTGCAGGTTATTGTGCTGCTTTTACATTTTAGAACTGTGCTGTTACATATGAAAAATTGAAGTGCAGGTAAAGAGTGAGGAATATACTTACGGGTAAATGAATAAAAGATGTTTTCATTAAAACGTTCTGAGAAGTGTTTGGTTAGCTTCTATAGGAACATCTAAAAGAATAGGTTTTGTTCCTGTCATTACAGCTAGTCTTATGAATTGATTGTTCAGAGTTTTCAGGTCAATCCCTGGTGGTCCTCTCAGGATTCACTAAAAGTCTTACTATATTTCACTTTTGCATGTGTGCCTACAACTATTTTCAAGACAGTTTCGACTCCTGGCAACTGCCTGGACCTGGTCTCTGCAGCTGTTGAATGGTATTTTCAGTGGTGGTGGGGCAACATTTTCAGAAGTGGTTTGCCATTACCTTCTTCCAAAGGTTGAAATTATCTGTGTTTCCTTCAGATCATTATTAAAACTTCGAAGTAGCTTCAATTTGGACTTGGTTTGATTTGGACATTGAAAGCTGAATTTTCCCTAGCAAAAAATAAAACTGACAATGTGTATGTTCCTAGCTGAAATAAAACTACATGTAGCAATTATGAAATTTGTTATAGGTTCAGAACCTTTATTAAAGTTAGAGCAATTTATTTTCTTTAATTAGAATCTTCAGAAGAAGTTGAGGACCATGAAGATGAAGATGGAGAAGAAAACCAAAAGCGCTATGATCTCCGACAGAGAAAAACTGTTGTACATTATCAATCCTCACCGGAAAGTAAGTTTCTTTTATACCATTCCTGGAAGTCTCATTTGTTTATTATAAATTTTCAAATTTCCAAGATTGAAATATCTATTTAATGTATGTTGATATCGAACCAAATTCCTCATAAACCATTCTAAGTTGAAGGCAAAAAGGCATTTTATTCCATGTTATTCTAAGGTCCATGATTAGTTTTTTATTTTAATTGTTTTTCTTATTGAAACTTCAAAAAATTATTAGTCAATAAATCAGCAGTGATACATTTATTCCTTCTCTGCTTGGAATTAAAGAGGAGGGAGTTGGTTAAGCACATACTCAAAGACTGAAAAAAATTCAATTTCTTTAGTAAATTCTGCAGCTTTATCATTTTTTGGAAGTTAGAGCTTGTGACTTGTAATGTTATATTGTTCCTGTGTGGTATGCTTTTTTCCCATGGAAGATTTCCAAGGGCAAAACCATAATATACCTGTGGATTTCATAAACTTTACTGGGCTTTGTGCAGGCCTGATTAAATGCAGAACTGTATATTGTGCAACCATGTTAATTAGATGCTTCAAGCCTTTAATCAGAAACGTTCGGTTTTGTTTTTATAACCTTGATCATGGCTGCTGAAATTAACTCATTTGGCTCTTTGTTTGGCTCTGTTCTATAATTGTACAGACTAGCCAGATTGCTAGAATCCATTTAATTGTTGCTTGTATTGCTTGGTTGGGAGTTTTAAAAAACATTCTAAATTATTTTTAAATTTGGTTCATATGTCCTCTATTTGTGGTTGTGAATATATTTCTTGGAAAAGTTCCTTTGTGCCATAAATCTGTTTTTGTTTTGCTTTTTTGAGGGGGCAGGGCTGCCATCTTAACATTTCATGCAGTTGTACATCTTTATTGTGTAACTTTTCAGCCAGTGTTGCCTGGGTTTATTTTCAGATTGTCTTTCAGGAGCAAAGTTAACAAATGAACTTTGTACAAGTTAAAATTAGTTTTTTTTGTAAACAAATGATTTGCTACTGGCTTTCTGATTCTCTTATCGTAGAAGCAAGAATATTAACCTATTTTTAAAAAATGTTTGATATTGTTAACAGAGCCCAGGCATCAGAAGAAGCCTAAATTATTTTATGATGATGCAGCTTCTCCAGTAAGACGAGGTTTCCCTTTTAGTCCTACAGGACCACGGAGCCCTTTCTGTAAAAAGATAAATAGGTATGTTTTTACATTTGCAAGAGATACAATAGTAGCAATGCTTCAGATGCTGCTTGTACCCCATAATGATTAATTTAGCAAAAGTTTATTATAGAATAAACTTTACTGTCTGATCTCGCGGCCATGGGGACACTGCAGTGGTTGTACGCCACTTTTTTCAGTGCCATTGTAACTTCATATGGTTGCTAAAAAATGATTGAAAATTGAGGACTATATGTATTTGTAAGCACAAATACCAGTCAGTATAAACTAGGAAGAAATATACTGGCTTTGTGTGAATCTTGAAGATAGTAACTTGTAAATTTTTCAAGATTTTTGTCTCCTTATTCAGCTCCATTCTAATGGAATGGTTGCTAAGTGAGAACTACATGTAAGTCCTCATAATGTTGTTTTCAAGAGAGATTTGACAACTTGATTTACATATTATGCAGAGTCAAATATCAGTTTATTAATATAAATTAAAATTATGCTTTGCTTGTCAGTCTATGTTTGTTGGAGTGACTAACCATAACTATGTATCCAGCCAATTCATGGAGGAAATTCATTGTGGATTTTACTACACCACCTCCTTATTCTTCCACCCTTTTTCTACTCAACCACTCATATCTACACTCATATTCAGCATATATTTACGAATACATTAATATTTCAACAACATGCATTTTCATACTTATTTTTTAAAAAAATAGGCGAAAGCATGCAATTCATAATAGCGATTCCACAACTTCATCTTCATCTGATGATGAAGAACGCTTTGAGAGACGTAGGAAAAGAAGTCGCAACAAAGCACTGAGCAGGTAATTATTCAAAGTGGTTTGTGTATTTTTTCCAGCAATTACATTGGGGGATTCTGTCTAAAATACTGTCAGTGAGAAAATGGTAAATTCTGGCTTTTCATAATTAAATGCTACCAGGATTTAACAGTTGTATGTCACATTGGAATTGTATAGTCACTGATATATAAAACAAGATAAATAACATTAATTATGAACCTACGTTAATTTGCTATTCAGGATTTTAAATTTTGGCTAAACTAAATTGTACTTTATACTTTAGCACTTTCAACAACTATTAATTCTCACATTAGGTGCCTTCCGCTAAATTTTCAAAAAGATGAGTTGAAGGGAATCCACAAAGATCGAATGAAAATTGGAGCAAGCCTGGCTGATGTTGATCCAATGCAAATAGACACTTCAGTAAGGATTTGATGTCTTGCTTTCTGATATAAAAATTGAATGTAGATAACCTTACCTTTAAAATTAATGTAACTGTTCTTTGATTAATTATGTGACATCAAGTCACTGTTGACTCCTGGACACCATGTAGACTGAGCTGTTCTTATTGGTAATAAACTTAAAAGTTTTTTACTATACTGATAATAAACTTACTTGTGAGGACAACATAGATAATCTTTAGCTTTTACTTTGGGTAGGATTTTTATTATTTTCATTTGTCAACTGTCTCCCATTTTAGGTGCGATTTGATAGTGTGGGTGGACTTTCTGATCATATTTCAGCTTTAAAGGAGATGGTAGTTTTCCCACTACTTTATCCAGAAGTGTTTGAGAGATTCAAGATTCAACCTCCAAGGTAGTACTTTAAATTATTTCCTTTTACTGGATGTTAAAGTCATTTTAAAATTTGGACTTTCTTGAGATAGTTTCTTAAGATCTTTAGACAAGATCTCTTAATAAATATCACTTTGATGCACTATTTAGATCAATTTGTGTAAAATTGACGAGGTTTACTATAGTCATAGTTTACAAAAATATACATATGTTCTAAATTTATTATATTAATTTATAATTTATACTATATTATTTTAAGAAGTACCCAAACCTTAAAGGAACCTAAAAGTATCCTTGAATTATTTTTGTATAAAGTTTCGTAATTTCAAATTATATAAACAAGTCCTAATTAAGAAAGACCAAGTTAAGAATGGGGAAATAAGAAATTACATTATTTACAGAGGTTAAAAATTGAAATAATTATTAGAGCCAAGATAATATAAATATAGCAGCCAATACGAAAGCACCAAATATAGGAGAAAATAACCATGAAAAAAATCTGGACGAAGGAACAGTCCTAAATGCTATATATGGTTTCACATTTGTCAGAAAACTGTTCAGAATAGCTTCAGTTGAATCAGCATCATCTAAAGCATCCCCCTAGAAGTTTTGCAGCTCCCTTTTATCATTTTTTATTAGCTGCATTGTTGGAGACAATCTCTCACTGCTTAAACAAGGAGGTTGTTGGTTTCTATTATATTTGCACCTTTATTTATCTTCTAGAGGGAAATCCAATCACATTGCCTCCTTCTGAAGAGCCACAGAGATTCATTAAATGCTGCAACCAATTGATACATTTTGGTTTCAGTTCATTCTGTCTCATATCTGCATCTGCTCCTAGAACTCAGATAATTGATGCATATCAAAAACCCTGTGGGTTATTTCAATAGCATGTTAACATTGCAAAGCATACAGATCACTAAAAATATAAAATTTGGATTGTTGGTGCTGTTCTTCAAGGCTTTGTTTGATTATAATTGAGGCTGATTTAAAAAACTTCACATTTTTTGAAAAACTTCCTATCAATGCAAAAGGCTTGTTAGTACTAAGAGAAAGGATAACAAATACAAACATTTAAGAAAATTGAAATGAATATGTAAGATAAAGATCATTAAAATTGCCACCTTTGTTCTTGGTAGCATGTGCAGTCCTGTTCTTCATTACTCACATTTTATGATCATTTATGTAATTTTAGAAAAGGGTCTGTTGCTTTATGTCCTAAGACACCATTGCCACCTCTGAGTTCTGACCTCATGAGAAGTTTGAGTCCATAATCACGGACAAAAACTTGCTCATGGTGTCTGGCTTGTTAATCTATAACCTAGAAATTTGGGGATCTGTTACAGAAAATTTGAAGGTCCTTCAGATTCCCCATGGAATTTCAAGTGGAGAAATTCTGAGATCTCCTGATTATGTACATATAAAATCTAGCATTCTGGGAAATTTTTGAATGGAGGCGTACTCACATAGCTCCATTACTGAGCTAGTTATTTTTATTCTTTCTACACCAAGATTTCTACACTATCAAATGTTGATTTGTTCTTAAGTCCTTTGTATATATTGCATATATTTGTTTTTTTTATATGTGGTTTTAATTGCTTGTTATGCACTGCCCAGAGTTGCCTTTGTGAGATAGTGACTATGTAAATATGATAAATAAACATGACTGACTGTTCCACAATTGGTTTGTGGTATTCAAAGCAAGAAGTGAGATTTCTTTGATAAGATGAGTAACTTCTAAAAAATAACCGGCGCAATAGTGAGGACATTCTTGTGTTTGTGAGAAAATATGCCCCGAGGCTGGTGCATTTTGTGACCATTGAGGATATGATTATTAATTAGCATGCTCATACCTCCAGATTCATAGGCATTGATATAGATCACTAAGAACATCGGTGTAATAAGTTCTGTACCTTTTGTGTGCTGTTTGCAGATGTTTCTTAAAAACCTGGTTGCCAAAGTCTTAAAGTGATTAGGTAGAGTATGCTAAAATAATTACTTTAACTGCAAGTTTGAATTCTTCCAGGGGCTGCCTTTTCTATGGTCCACCGGGGACTGGAAAAACTCTTGTTGCCAGGGCACTTGCTAATGAGTGCAGTCATGGAGACAGAAGAATAGCATTTTTCATGAGAAAAGGTGCTGATTGTCTCAGTAAATGGGTGGGCGAATCTGAGCGACAGCTTCGTCTGCTGTTTGATCAGGTAATTTTGCTTTCTTTGTGTCTTGGGTTCGGCACAACTATTTGAACCATAATTAATTTGAATTTCTCTTTTTAGGCTTTTCAGATGCGTCCTTCAATTATATTCTTTGATGAGATAGATGGCCTTGCTCCTGTACGGTCCAGTAGACAAGATCAGATTCACAGGTATGTGCTTTGTAATTAAAAACAACAGCTCTTCAAAGTTTCTTTGAACTTCAGTATGATGGGTTAAATTTGAAAGATTGTAAAGTGTAATCTGACCTTGGATCCATTCTATTTTGCGAAAATTAGGGCAGAGATACTTAAATAAACAAGGAAACATAGTGTTTAGTTATTTGCCTACATAAATAACAGTACTTTTGATCAAGTAATATACATATTACAAAATCTGTAGGTTTTCTTTGATTCATTAAGTTAAAAATAGTAATGTTGCAAAAACATTGTCAGTTCCTTTATAGTTTAATATTTAATAATAATTATATAAAGTACTTTTCCATTATAACTAGCCCTGAGAAATACATCGTTTGAATAAGATTAGAGTCACCTCCTTCCATTTAATTAGATGTAGACTTTATTATTACATTGGGTCTCACATTAGTAAGTTTTTTTTCTAACTCAAAAGTTTTATTTGAATTGAATTGTATATATTACTGTGTATACCGGAAATAGCTTCCAACAGGTTTCTACAACATTGAACTTATGGATACATCCAATCTTCCATGAGCATATTTCAACTGTGACATTTTCCCTTCACTATTTCCATTCTATTGAATAAAGTTTAATAAACTCTTTAGGTCATGCATAAAAGTATAAAATATCTGAAAATTTGCATATTTTAACTGAGGTGGCTTTCATCTGCAGATTAGTATATATTTTCTAGCTTTTCTCTGTTATGGTGTTCTGAAAAAGTGATCTGAAATCTACCTCAGCTATCTTTAAAAAAAATAAAAAATCTGGCAGTTCCATACAAGCTTTTGTGTACGGATCTGAGAATCCTCCAAAAAATGATTAAACTGCAGTTTTCTGCACCAATTCATTAGTAATGTAGAAATGCAAAAATGTTTGCTTCTGGAACATCTCTTCCAGAAGGGATTAACTCTGGTGTTTTGGAGGTCATTTTTCTGTTTTGTGGCTGGACTGTGTCCAGAAAAAATACTTTTTGTTACAGATAATACACTTCCAGAAACATGTTTATTTATTGCTTTTAAAGATTTGTGTATTTGTTCACATTAAACAATTCTAGGCAACTCACAACAGCAGTAAAACCCAATAACTTCAAAACTTAACCATCAAGCAATAAAAAAAAACCATAATCAACTCCTTAGAATCTTCCCCAGCCAGCTTTATTTATCTTCGTTCCATCCTGTCCTGTCCTATCCCAGCACCTGGGTGAAAAGCTAAGCCTTCTGAAAAACTAAAAAATGGGGGCCTGCAGGGGAAGGATATTCATAAGGTAGGGATGGGCACGGAAAAGGCATGCTTCTGAGGTCCCTCTAGGTCAGGGTTTTGGGGAGATTTCAAGTGTGCCTACCTCATCCAATCTGGAACAGGCAGATATTCTTGGAAAGGCAGTCCCACAAATAACCAGGTTCCATATAGGGCTTTAAAGATGATACCCAGTATATCTTGAATTGCACCTGGAAGGAAACTGGGAGCCAGTGCATCTTACACAAAGAGGTATAACATGGGCAAACTTAGGGCAACCAATGTTGTCCATGTCACTTCATTGTGGACCATTGGTAACTGTAGAGTAGTGTTCAAGGGCAGCTCCCATGTAAAGCATATTGCATTTATTCAAACAAGGAGTGTCTGATACATGAGTGACTGGGAGCAAGGACTCCTCCTGGTCCAGGAAAGAGCAAACTCCAGAACTGCTCTGCCTTGTCAGGGTTAAATAAAAGTCAGTTTCTCTTCATCCAGACTCTCTTAGCCTCCAGTGATACCAGCACTGCATCAAGGACCACTCCTGCTATACTTGAAGATGAACCATGTAATTAATCTTATTAGCAGTATTGATTGATTTATTGGTACCCATTTTGTGTATATTTTATATTTTTGTTTTATATCATTGTCTTTTCTTGAAGACAGTACTTCTGATGTGCCACGTTTGAGCAAAACATAGTCATCAGAAAAGGGTTGTTGAAGACTTGCTCTAAAATAACTTTTCTCAGACATTTAAAATGAGTCCTGTGGATTCTATCATGTAAAGGATAACATATTTCAAAATTTCATTTTTAAGCTCAATTGTGTCTACGTTGCTCGCATTGATGGATGGTTTGGACAATAGAGGTGAGATTGTGGTGATTGGTGCTACAAACAGATTGGATTCCATAGACCCTGCTTTGAGAAGACCCGGACGTTTTGACAGAGAATTCCTATTTACATTACCAGATAAAGAGGTAAGAAATTCCACTATTGATAAATAATTAGCTTCAGCTTACCATGATGGAGGATTATATAGAGCGGCGTTGGTGAACCTTTTCGGCACCGAGTGCTGAAATGGGAGCACGCATGCATGCTAGAAACCGCAAGAGCAACTGTCCGGTGCACTTGTGCATGCCAGGAAAATGATCTTTTGGTTTTTGATGCATGCATGTGTGGTGGCCAGCTGGTCTTTGTGCACACTTGTGCACCAGAAACCGGAAGACCAGGCAGGCAGGCCCATTTTTCAGTCTGCTTTAATATTCTAATATTGGAGCCATGTTTCTCAAAGCTGCTGTACCTGCTTTTGCTTATTTCTCTAGTTTGAGAGATTTTTCTGGAAAACATCTCTGCCCATTTAAGTTTTTATCTTGCATGAAGATAAAAATCACATAAAGTTTACAGTCCGTTACCTCTTTCCAAAGTTATTTTGTTATACAATTAGAATTATTACAGTAGTTTTTGTTTCTATAAAAAACTGGTGTTAATGTAAACATAGAACATTCATGAATGGGAACTGGAATATTTAATATCTTAAGATTAAGAAATCTTAAAGCTTTTTTTTTTTTTTAAAAACCCTTTATGTTTCTAGGCAAGAAAGGAAATCCTTAAGATCCATACCCGCGAATGGACCCCTAAGCCATCAGAAATGTTTCTACAGGAGGTTGCTGAAAAATGTGTTGGTAAGAACAGGAATTCAAAATATTTTGCACAATCCATTTCTAAAAAGTATTGTTTTGTATAGTTGCTTGGAAATATAGCTTTACACATTTTGCTTTGACCTGATTTTTGTAATTATTTAGAATGTGTGCAGGTACTTCATTATATACTTGCACAAGTTAATGATTAGCATCATCTCTGAGCATTTATTTTTTGCAGTGATTAAGGTGCTAGATCAGAAACTGGGAGACCATAAATTCTGGTCCTCCCCCTAGACATGAAAGCTAGCCAACTTTGGGCCAGTTTTTTTTCTTAGCCCAACCTACCTAAGAGGAAGGATGATGGTGATGAGGAAAATAAGAGGGGAAAGCTTGAGTTGTACAGAATAAAGATGGGCTATAAATATAACAGTAATAACTGTTGATTCTCCTTACATCCAATAATGAAAGCCTACTGCTGAATAAGCATTTGGTCCCACTCTTGATCTGCTTTTGCTATAAAGCAGGGGTCCTCAACCACTGGTCCCCGGACCAGTACCGGTCTGTGGATCATTTTTTACCGGGCCGCAAAGCTTGGGCACCGCCATCTTGTTTCGACGGCGCTTCCGGGTTTTCGGTTGGAAAGTGCTTCCGGGTTTTCAGTTGGAAAGCGGTGTTTGGGTGCTCGCGCCTTAGTTTTGTCGAAGAGGGAGCGGCGGCTTCGAACGAAGAGCTGTCCCAATGGCAGTGGAGTCTCGCGTTACTCAGGTACCAGTCCGTGGAAGAATAAATAATCATGAAACCGGTCCCTGGTTCAAAAAAGGTTGGGGGCCACTGCTATAAAGAGTTTCCCCTAGTATTAGCTGGAAACTGGCCATCTGCATACAAAGCTCAGAATAATTTCTGTCATGATTTGTAGACGTGTATTTTTTTTAACAGAAAAAAAATTAGGCAAGGGATATCGGTAGCCCTTGATTTATAATTATTTGTCCAGTGATTGTTCAAAGCGACAATTGGCCCCCAGTGACATGATTAAAATTTGGGGCCCAGCTCTGAACTTTGGGGTACCTTAAACTTTGCCACAAATACTGACACGCCCCCCCCCCCAACTTACCTTTGCCATCTTCCTTCTGCTGATGCTCTGGGATCCAGGTGCTGGGTAAAAGTGCAGCCCTGGTATGCAGAGGGTGAGGGCAGGGAGAGCCAATGGTGATACCAACAGTTGAAGGTGAATGCTGTGTACTTTTCCTAGTGAACTAAACATATTAAACAGAATACAAGGAATAATTTCTAATGTATTGCAGTGATTTGTATTACAGTTTAATTGACTGCCAGGGAGCAGCTTTTATTCTTTGGTGCTTGACAGAGAAGATTGAGTGAGGGACTGTAAATTATATATAAATGATGGTTATGAAATGATTATATATAAATAGCAGAGCAATTCGACACATGTACTTAATCTTGGTAGAATGCTTATTAAAGAATGCTAAAGCCCATGAGACCATCTTTCTATCCAATTTGTTACAGTGAAATGGAAGTTAGATATGTTAAGGGAACCACAAAAATGACTTGTATGCTGATGGCTTGGCAGATTTAAAAAGTGTGTTTCATTAAACAAGGGAATCATAAATAAATGAATACTAAATATGAACTCTGAATACAAACAGCAAGTCACTAGTGTAAAGAAATGTTTGAAATAGTTTTATCATTTAAGACAGGTGTCAAATTCGCAGGCCAGATGTGTCACGTGCTGGCCCTGCCCCCACCCAGTTTAGCGAAGGGGGGGGGAAGTCCTGATATGTCATGTGACAACATGAGTTTGACATCCCTAATTTAAGAGAATAAATTAGGATTGAATTGCAAGATATATATGAGGGAGGAATGAAGACCAAGAAGGTAATAATTGGAGTCCATGTGTTCCTTGGAAGGAAGTTTATAAAATGCATTGTAGAATCAAGGATGGCTTGAAGGAATAATGGAGAGTATGGTGAATGTAGCTGTCCTTTTTTCTTTCTTTTTATTGTTATACCTTTAAAAAAGGGAAGGGGTGGGGGTTACTTACTAATCTTCTGCAGTTTTTTTAGTCAGTCTTGACTCCTCACAGCTGTCTAAACTTGTCCCTACAGTTTCCTTGGCAAGATTTTCAGAAGGGATTTGCTCTTTCTTTTTTGTCCTAGCTCTAAGAGAGAGCCAGCCTCCCAGCTGGCTTTGTGCCTAAGGCAACACCCAAGAGTCTCTTGGTTTCTAGCCTCATGCCCTTAATCTGGCTGTCCTACATGACAGTGCTTATTCTAATAAAACCAGGTGGATTAAAAAGAAAAGGATAAAACATTTCTATGTTCAGTTGTAGGTTTTGTGATGGTAGATTCTGTTTCAGGAAGAAAAGAACTTTTCCAATTTCTTACATAGTACATATATCATTAAATGGTTTTAAATTGCTTATTTTAAAAATATTTTAATACAGACTTTTGCTTTATAGGGTACTGTGGGGCTGATATTAAATCGATATGTACCGAGGCAGCCTTATGTGCCTTGCGTCGACGTTATCCTCAGATTTACACCAGCAGTGTGAAGCTTCAGTTAGATATCTCTTCCATTAACATAACCGCTAAGGATTTTGTGGTTGCTATGCAAAAGACTATACCTGCTTCTCAGCGGGCAGTAACCTCGCCTGGCCAAGCGCTCTCTACAATTTCAAAACCACTGCTTGAAAATGTACTGCAAAGAATTATGGAGGTTGTACAAAATGTATTTCCACATGCAGAACTGGCACAGAAAGGACGGAATAAATCAGGTATTTAAATTTCTTCTTTTCTGAAACAGAATATTTTATCTAAATTTAGGACTGATAAATTGAGTCACCTTCCTTTTAATAAAATACTAGTACCGAAAAACTTTGCCTTTTCCTCTCTTTGAAGAGAGGGGCAGAAAAGAATCAGTGCAGATCGATCTTTTAGTTAACCAGATTAATTCATAAAAACACTTAAGATTCAATAAAGTTTATTTACTTGCAGTTTTGGATGGAGGTATGTATGTTTGCTATAGAATGAGTTTTGTATTTTGTACAAGCTGAACTGTTTAACATCCTTCCTAATTCATGTTGTCCAGGTGTTTTAAGAATAAAGCAACATGAAAGCCATTCCTATTTTAATGGTAGCCATTAACAAATTACTAGTAGATTCAAGATGCTGCACAATAGAGCCATTTTTATCTAGTGGTTAAGGCTCCAGACTAGAAAATGGGAGACCATGAGTTCAGTCCAGCTTTAGGCCATGAAAGCCAGCTGGGTGACTGGGCCAACCACTGTCTCTCAACCCAACCACATCACAGATTGGTTTGGGGAAAATTGGAGGAGGAAACTGTTGGATAGGCTTTCTGCCTTGAATTATTTGTAAAAATAATAAAAGGCAGCATAGAAATAAATAAAATAAAGTTGCATCATTTTTAGCTACGGAACTAACCTGAATATTTTAATTAAATTATGTTGTGCGCTTATCCCAGAACTTGTTTTTAATCATCTCAGTCACCCATACTGGATACCTACTTTCATAAGAAAGCATAAATGGAGAAAGGAATAAGCATGCCCTTTTTGCTAACTGAAACTCACTCCTCCTCCTGTTCCTGCTCCTCCTCCTCATTTCTTATTAATATTGAGAGAAAAATATTATAAGTTACTCTTTTATAATAAGATTTTACGTAGTTTAAGGATGGTTATGCTAGAAGATTCCTCTTTACGTTACATATAAAAACCCCCACCCTAAAACCCAAAACGTGTTCAGTTACAAGTACATGGTGAATTGTTACAGTCTTCTTGGAAAACCGGAAGATCTGCCCGGGGCTAGGCAACAAGTAAATAAGATAAGGGACATCCTCACAAGATAAAGCCCAGCAGTGAAACCAGATAAGACACCGAGGCACAGAAAACAATGTCCTGTTGACCCTTAAGCCTATTGTTTAGCTCATCTTCGAATGCAAGAAAATAAGGGTGTGTGGAGAGGGCCTCTTAGGCGTGACATGTTCTGTGCAGGGGTATAAAGGTATTGTTATGAATATGGAATTTTGCTCTCCTTGTACTCAATCCACTTGGGAAGGGTCTTGGAGGCCACGCTTGCAACCGCTTTTTCTTTTCTTCAATAAACCTTTGAAATTGTGCACCAGACTTGTCCGTATTGTGAATATAAATTTATTGGGGGTCTTATATCTCACAGTATTGATCTAATAATAGGAGTGTATATTATACTATCAGTTAATCAATTTTCATACAGTCATTGACCAGCAAATTAAAAAAACCCACACAATTATTTGGGATAAAAAATAAAATATTGCAAAATATCTAAGGGAGTGTGATGGCTCAGTAGTTAAGACACTGAGCTTGTCAACTGGAAAGCCAACAGCCTGTGAGAGATTAATAGGTACCATTTCTGCAGGAAGGTTACTGCATTCGGTATTTTCATGCTGGCTACATGATGATGGAAACATCTCAGACAACACAGGCTCCCTCAGATGGGAATCAAAAATGAGCACTTGAGTAGGTCATGACAGGACAGGGAGACCTTTAAAATACATAAAAAGGATTAGAAGAAATAATATAGTTCTGTGCAAACTATGGAACAATATTTAAACTGGATTTTAAAGAAATATTACTTGCAAAGAAGTAAAATGAGATCAATGTGATAATAACAACCTAAGATAAAACAAGTTGAAAAGGCCAGGATATTGAGTAAAGAATGGATATGATAATTCATGGCAAGCTAGAGGGACAATACAAAATAACATGTTCTATTGTTCAATTATTCCTCCACCAATATATTGCTGTATTTTATCAATGCAAGGAAAAAATTGATACAAGAAACCAAAATAACATTGATTAGGCCAAATAGGTTTGCCAGTGAAATAAATGTCCCTGTCGTTCCTTTTTTCCATAATGCAGCACACATCACGGGAAACTAGAAGAGTTAAGAACTACCTCTGCAGCTAATATGGCCCTTAGTGAATAATTGCTTCTCAACGTTAGTTTTCCTGCTAACTATTTTACAAAGAAACCGTGAGAACTAATTAAAGGTTGTGATTCTAATTGCATCAAAATTACATACATGTTTTATTTTGTGGAATAGAATATTCTTTTAAACCAGGTTATTTAAAATGTAAGAGCAAACAAAAATAAGTATCCAAAACATGTACATTTGAGTTTATAATCTAATAACATAATTCTGAGGCCTTTTTCATTTTATTTATATTTTCACTAGAAAGTTGGTATCAGGCTTCTTGATAACTTATTCCCTTTAATTGCATATGTTTAAATAAAATTCTAAAATTGGCCTTAGAAATAAGATTCAATGACCCATTGGAAAAAAAAAATCTTAACCTTAACTTTAGAAATAAGATACAATATTTGTTAAGCCTGGATTCCCCAACTGGTGTTAAGGAAAACAAACTAAACAGAATGTGCAGCGAAGTCAGATAGGAAGACAGGTAAATGTGTGAGGTAAGTTTTCTAGTTAACACGCAGTAAAAATACAGATACGCTTGTGCTATCAAAAATATAGTTTATTCCATTTAAGAATTATAGCATAGTCAAATAAACGGTCCATTAGTCATATATCATTTTCAGTCAAATCTTGTCGGGGATACTCTATTTGCAAAGTCCGTGTTGAATAGCCAATGTCAGTTCACTTACAATAAATCATTCCAATCTTTATTTTCTCTCCGTTGAGAAAAATCAACACTCCTACAAGAACGCAGTCATCAATCCATCCAGTAATTAGGGATCAGTAAGCCAGAGAGAGCGAGCTGGAATTGCCTCGCTTCTTATATAGTGCTTTTACAACCACACCCTTAATTACATTCTTGCAGTTAAAGTTACACACACTTTAACTAACAAACCATGATACCTTATTTATTATTTTTACCCAAACCAGTTAGGGTAAACAATGTTATCCCTAACAATATTCATATTGTATGTACCTCTTTTTGTTTCATTTAAAGATTTTGCTAATCATGTGTCAGAACCTGATCTGTTCTACAGTGATGAAGAAGGACCAACAGTATTTGAAACTGGACATTTTCAGAAAGGCTCTGAAAAGCGGACACATTTTCTTAATTTTAATAGGTGGGTGATCAATGACAATCTTTGCCCCCCCCCCCCCAAAAAAAAACCAACAACACAAACCTACTCTAATATTTACTGTTATAATATTTAATATTAATATTTACATGGTTTTCAGTAAGGTTTTCTTCCCTACTGAATAGGATTTATTTGTTGTCTTCTGTTCCTTGATCAATACTAAAATTTAAAAGAAGGGTATTATTTTGCAGTGTTTTTGGATGAACTTGCACATAAATATATAAATTAGAACATTGAAAAGCAGAGAGAAAAGAATATTTAGTGATGCTATCACAGATTAATTTTTAGGGAGAAAAAACAGCTTCAAATTTTTGGTGTGCATAGGGGTATTTTTTTTAAAAAAAAAAAAACTATACAGGTCATACATGCTTGCAGTTTCTGCCAGTTTGTGATTGCTTAGTTGTTGAAGCACTACATATATCTATATATGAATGAACTGAAATACTTTATTATATTCTTTACTGTTTTGATTTAAAAGTGGGACATGAATATTTAAAATTTGTTAAATGCTTGAAGTTTCAAGCTGAAAGTTTGAAGTTTCACGTTTTTTGCATGATTGAAAAGGTAATATTTGAGTTGAGTTTGGAGCGACTTATTTTCTTTTTTCTTTTAATAGAAATGCTTATCACCAACCAACATCTTGCCGACCAAGACTCTTAATTAGCGGGAAGCCAGAATATGGACAAGCCTCGCATTTGGCCCCAGCAGTTATACATGCTTTAGAAAAGTTTCCGGTGTATACGCTAGACCTTTCTATCCTCTTTGGTGTCAGTTCCAAAACCCCTGAAGAAACATGTGCTCAGGTATTTCATTATCCTGTACTCTTTAGTTCTTTAAGTAGTTTTGGTTCCAACTGCCTTTGTAAGTCAAGGACTACCTATAAACATTTTCACTATTTATGTGGAGAATATCAACCTTGGAAATGGATGCTACTTCTCTTCCAGGGGTTACCAAGGTATCTTTCCAGGAAGTAGAAACGGCTTCTTCCTGAAGATTTCAGTATGAAGGGATTGGAGAACAGAGTCAGTTTTTCCTTTCCCAGCACATACACTTTGCTTCTGCCAACTTCTTAGAAGTTCTGCCTGCAATCTAAGAGGGCAGAGGCAAATTTGTCTCTTTGATGCCAGTCTTTTGTCACATCAGAATCATTTTTGACTGAAATCCAGACAAAGTTTTACCTCTCCCAGTCTCTTGCAAAATACTATCTGACTTTAAATTCAAATTCAAATTATCATGCCAATCTTCCACTGAATGGTTCAAAACAAAGATTCATTTCCATCCTTCAAGCTTGTTATTTTCAAAAACAAAACAAAACAACAGTTTGAAGTTAGTATGCCAAAACAGGATATGGACCAGATTTGTCAAGCCTAGCTGATAAACCAAGTAAGTGAGAACTACAGTGATTTGAGAAAGGTATCTTTAATGTTAGCCACAAGTAAAAGTATAATCTTGGAAAATTGTCAGTGTAAATTCCTAAGCAGGTTTAATTGACTTACTATGAGCCTCTTTAAAGTCTCTTTAAAATTGTTCATTTCCATAGCTGTACTTCTGGACCAAGTTGCTTTTCTTAAATTAAACTGGTCTACTCTCTTACCTTTTTCCAGTCTTTCATGCATTTAAAAACTTGATTTTATCTACTGAAGCCATCATAATTGGCTATGTCATGAATTCTAGGGGAATATAAGTATAGTTTAAATCATGATCTATTAAATGACAAGGTAATTAATAAAGTGCACAACTTAATTTTTAATGATTAAAATGTCTTCTTTTTTTAGTTGATCTGTGAAGCTAAGAGAACAGCGCCAAGTTTAATATACATTCCAAACATTCATATATGGTGGGGAACGATTGGACACACATTGCAAGCAACCTTTACTACACTATTACAGAACATTCCATCCTTTGCTCCTATTTTTCTTCTTGCAACATCAAATACACATCATGAAGCTCTGCCAGATGAGGTATGTTCATGGGATAATCCACTGTACCTTATTGTATCTGATTTTGCCCTTATCTGGCAGCACAATGAAGTTTAGGATAAGGAAATAAAAAAATCCATCCTAATTCACACCTTAAGGTTTTTTAAGAGAATGTTTTTTAAGTGTGTATACACACACATTCCTGCCTCATGCCTAAATGTTGCTTGCTTATCAGAGACTTGTTGCATTACCGCAGCAAAGATTGATACTCTATAATAAACTGCTAAATTGGCTGAATGTTTCCCACAATTGTGTTTTTAATGCTCTCTATTTTTGTTGGACTTTCTGCATGAAGCATTAGTAGTTCAATAGTTCTAGGATTTTGCGAGGCTACTGTTACCTTTTAATTTTTGTTTTATAGATTTCTTCTTTGTTCATTTGTTTCCATGATGCATCTTTTTTAGGTAAAGGAATTATTTGTTGATGGTTTTGGAGAAGTTTTTGATGTTCATTTGCCTAGTTTTGAAGAAAGAAGAAAATTCTTTGAGAGTTTAATTCTCCATCAAGCAATTAAACCACCGGTGTCAAAAAAGAAAGCAGGTAGATGTGCTGCAAATGCATTGGATAAAGCTTATTGTAGATGGATTTGTAAACAGGTACATGCTTACGAATCTGTTCTCCTTTTTAAGTTTTGCAGGCATTGGAGGTATTACCAGTAGCTCCCCCACCTGAACCACGGCAGCTGTCAGAACAGGAGATCAAGCAACTTGAGGAGCAGGAAGAAGATACTCTACGTGAACTCAGAATTTTTTTAAGAAATGTGACACACAGACTTGCCATTGATAAACGCTTCAGAGCCTTTTCAAAACCTGTTGATTTGCATGAGGTAACAAATTTCAAAATAATTTTTGTTTTTCTTCTCTTGTACATTCCTCAGTGCAATCATTGACTATTTTGATTATATTAAGTTTGAAATTTGCTGAATGTTGCTATTAGACCATGGTCTCCAATCTTTCTGGCTCAACGGACCAGCAGGGGCGGCAAAGTGGGGAGGGAAAAGGGGATGGTTTTGTGTGCGGGATGCTGCTTTCACAAATGCAGCTTTGCCTACGTGCTCACCCACCCTCCACTTTGGCTGCCCAGTTCTGAACAGACTGTGGCGTGGCACTGGCCTGCAGACCAGGGGTTGAGGACCCTTGTATCATATGGTTATACTTATATCAGTTAGAAAAAGTAATGAATGCAGTCAAAACTTACCTCAGAATAATAACCTAAATGCTGCTCAAGGTGAATACTATAAATGGTAAACTTGATTTTAACTTATCAAAATTTGAAAGCAATTTTGGGATGTGTGCATCTTCAATAAAGGCATCAAGATATATCTATTAAAAGTGTTCTCTCTCCCTCTGTCGCTTTCCATTTGTTCATAACCTGCTTGGCATTTTCCCATCTTTCACTCACTAGCATTCCTTGCTCTTTCTACTTTTATCCTCTGCCTTTGTCTACTCTCTTATTTCTCTCTTTAGAACTTCTTGTTCATGGGTTGAGTTGTTTTTATTTTCTCTCTTAAAGGAGTTTAATCTTGGGAATCAGAGAAGAAAGGGTTTTTGGCACATGCGTTGTATATCCTTTCAAAATGTAAATATCAGGAACTTGTCTCAATAGAACAACCTGTACAGCTCTTAATGAAGCTCTTTTTTGAAAGGTTATATGTTTGACAGATGTTAGAAGTTACAAAGACCTACGGTCTGGTCTAGCAGGACCATTTACCCAGTTCTTGTCCTATTTTCTTTTTTCTTTTCTTTTTTTTCTTCAAATGTTATGTCTTATGTCAAGGGGGAACAACTTTCTTGTGGTTAGGAGCTGTAGGGATCATAACCAATGATAAAATGATTCCATTTTGAATAGGAGAGTCAAACCTCTCAACCAGTAAGATACCCCTTTTGCTTCTCTGAAAAGGAAAAATTGACCTGATTGGAGAGCTCTCTTGGTTTTATTCTAAAATCAGGAAAATTTACACTTTTAAAAATTGATTGCTTGATAGTTTCTCTGGAAGCTCTGAAATGGGAGCTGAAGTTATATATATGTGGTCCATGGATACCAAGTCTCCTATTCTCCCAGGTTGTCCTATGTAATTGGTTACATTTCCAGAACTGTGCAGTTGACTGAAATGTTTTTGGTTCCCCCCAAAAAAATTGAATACAAAATATGATCTTAAAAAGGTGGTTTAGAAGCATTAATACTAACATTTTAAAACATACAGAAATGTAAACTTATTTTATTCCTGAAGGCAGATAATATATTCATTCTTTTTCTTATAATGCTTCTGTAGGTACCAGACTATGTCACAGTCATTAAGCAGCCAATGGATCTTTCAACCATTATTTCAAAAATTGATCTTCACCAGTATCTGTCTGCCAAAGATTATCTAAAAGATATTGACCTCATCTGTAGCAATGCGTTAGAATACAATCCTGATAGAGATCCTGGAGGTAAGCCTTAATATTTATACATAGGCAAACTATTATACATGTAGCCCTCAACTTACAACCACAGTTAAACAAAATTTCTGTTGCTAAGTGAGACAGTCATTAAGTGAATTTTGCCCCATTGTTTACTTTTCTTGCCGCAATTATGTGATTTGCTGCAGTTAAGTTAGTTACATAGTTGTTAAGTGAATCTGGCTTCCCCATTGACACAGTGTGATCACATGGTCTTGAGACACTGCAACCGTCATAAGTATGAACCAGTTGCCAAGCATCCAAATTTTGATGACATGACCATGAAGATACTGCAACAATTGTAATTGGAAAAACAATCATAAGTAACTTTTTCAGTGCTATTCATTGCTTCAGTGCTAGTTTAGGTCAATAAACAAACTCACCTGTATATTATGTTAAATAAGCAGATGTTTCAAAAGCCTGCTGTACCCAACTTGTTCTCTATCAGGTTAAAAACAAAGGAATTAAGAGTAGTATAACTTCAAGCTGAAATTGTACTATTAAAAGATGTTAAACTTCATACTATTTATGAAATATTCAGAGTTTTCTGCAGAATATTAATTTCATGACAAAGTATTTCCTTGTATATTTGTTTTAGATCGTTTGATAAGACATAGAGCCTGTTTTCTCAAAGATACAGCCTATGCTATAATAAAGGAAGAAATGGATGAAAATTTTGAACAACTTTGTGAAGAAATTCAGGAATCACGCAAAAAGAGAGGTGGGTTTTCTCACGATTTGGCACTTTTAAAAAAGTTACAGTATGAATTTAATACTGTCACATTATATAATATATTGCATTACTGTGACTGAATTAGAGTGAATATATCGTATTTTTCGTACTATAAGACACACTTCCCTCCCTCCAAAAAAATGAGTGGAAATGTCTGTGGATCTTCTAGAGTGAATATTGCACCAGGGGGAGGGAGTTGGTGCAGTGGTGTAGTTTGCCGCCTGTCACCGTTCGCCACCGCCAGGGAACACTGGAGCCTTCACTGCCAAGCAGTTGGATTGGTCTCCCGGAATACCGCTGATAGGCACCGGGGGCAATCCCCACTGCCTAGAACAGCTGGTTGGTGGTATTCCAGAAGGCCAATCCAGCCATCAATCAGCTGCTCAGTGGTGAAGGCTGCAGCATTCCCTGGTGATGGCAGTAGCTCAGTTCAATTGACTGGTGGTGGGTACCATGGAACGGAGCCCTGATGAGCCATATGCTGGGGCTGCGATAATGTGCTGAAGTTGACCAGGCCATTTGCTGCAAGGACGCTAGCCAGATGAATACAGAGGATGGATGCTGTGAGACAGAGGCAGATTTTTTTCCCTCTTGTTTTCCTTCTCTACAGCTAATATGCGTCTTATAGTGTGAAAAATACAGTACCTGAGCATATTCTGTGTATAAGAAACATTTCAGGCTAGAAGACTTAAAACAGTATCAATAGCAGTGGCAGTAGCACTTAGACTTATATACTGCTTCACAGTGCTTTACAGCCTCTCTAAGCGGTTTATAGAATCAACATATTGCCCCCAACAATCTGGATCCTCATTTTACTGACCTCAGAAGGATGGAAGGCTGAGTCAACCTTGAGCCTGGTGAGGATTGAACTGCCGGCAGTTGGCAGAATTAGCCTGCAATATTGCATTCTAACCACTGTGCCATCACGATATGAGATGCCTCTCTGCCAGGATTCCTGTCTTTAGAATATGGCATCGTCCCCACATGTATTTCTTGTACAAAACATAGAATAATTCAACATGGTGGGTAAAGGATTCTTACAATGTATTGTTTCTTTTAAGGTTGTAGTTCTTCAAAATATGTCCCATCTTATTACCATGTGATGCCAAAGCAAAATACCACATTGCAGGACAAGAAATTGGATTCTGAATGTGGTGACAAGATGAAAAGCCCACCAATACCTCTGGATTCTAGTTCTCCTTTCATTCCTAATGGTAAGTGCTAATTTATCTGGTCTTGTATTATAAGCCAAGGATGGGTGTGCTGGGATTTTTCTCTTTACTGTCTATTTCTACTAATCACTAATTTTAGAGGATCGTTCCTTCTCTGGTTTCTTAGTGTATAAATAGAGGATGCATGAAAGTTTTTTTTATAACCCACATCTACTCATATCCTATTCGATGCCACTCTGGAATTGTTTTATTATTTAGCCACATTACAAACAATAACAAACATGATTACTGGATTGCTTTCTTCTGGTTTCTTTCTTGAAATGCTGCCTTTTTGTTACGTGAATAATTTGAGAAATGAAATTGACCATTAGACCCTGCAGAAAATGTTTAAGTTGTCTCCCAATAAGCATTTCATTCTGCATGAATATTTTGTTGCTGGTTTGGCTGTGCTTCCTCCCAAAAAGACCCATCTCTCAAATCTTTATATACTTTGAAAAAGGTAGTCCTCAATTTATGACCACAATTGCGCCCAAGATTTCTGTTGCTAAGTGAGACATATTAAGTCAGTTTTGCCTCATTTGACTTTTCTTGCCACAGTTAAGTGAATCACTACAGTTGTTAAGTTAGTAACACAATTGTTTGTTAAGTGAATCTGGCTTCCCCATTGACTGTTTGTCAGAAGGTCGCAAAAGGGGATCACCTGACTGAGGGACACTGCAACAGTCATAAATATGAGTCTGTTGCCAAGCATCTGAATTCTGAAATGATCATAAGTCACTTTTTTCTGTGCCGTTGTAACTTTGAACGGTCTCTCAATGAACTGTTGCAAGTTGAGGACGACCTGTATACACTTGATCTTCAACTAAAAAGCTGAGAACCAGGGTATACATGGAAGGTATCTGGTTCTTTCAGAGAATGTAAACGAGTCGCTTAGCATCTCTTTCATTTTCTTATCAGGTTCTCAAAATCTGTTTTCTTCTAATTGGATGTCCTATTTGGGGTGGGGGGATCAACCGCAAAATCTCTTTTTTTACTTCTGATTGGGTGTCCTATTCCAGTGTGCGGGAGTTGGGTCAACCCCAATCTCATCCCCTGCTAAAACCTCATGGCAAAAGAGTATCCCTCCTTAGGCCTCAGTGACAGCTGCATGACACTAGTAGCAGCATTTCTTCAATTACTTATTCTTACACAATGCTTGGTAATTCAGCCAAGGAAAGGCCAAGGGACTTCCAAGCTGCAAAAGAGTTTTGCAAGCAGCTGCTGCTGCAGCAGCTAAACAACATAACCCATAGTATTCTTCTGGCAGTTGTAAAAACAATGACATTGCAGTCTTTTCAGAATAATTAGTTGTGGTCACCTTGATGATGGAGTTGAGATTCAGGAATGGAAACATTAACATAACAATATTTTTCCAACTGCTATTCTATTTTGTTTTGAAATCAATTATGCACCAGAAATGAATGTGTTTTGGTTGGAATGTGCTTATATTGGAATTTATCTGCTCTAATATGTGTAGCCTTTTTGGGTGGGGAAAATGGCCCCAACATTGTTATAACACAAAGAAGGAATCTATGTCTGATTTTCAGCTTTTCTTGAGAGGGACAAGGGGACAAGAAAATATTTCAAGCAATGGGATTGAGACTTTTTAAAGTTCTATTTTAAGAATTTTTAAATGATTTTTCTCCTTTCTGTACTTATTACATTGTGTAGATAGTGTTGCAAGCACACAATTCTTCATATTTAGTTTGAAAAATGCATAAAAATGAATAGGAAAGCAGAAACCATAACTTGAGGTGCTTTCAAGACGAGAGGATGTCTGTCTGTTGTTTGTTACTTATTTTATCCTTCTTCCAAATTCTGTTCTTTAAATGAAATTATATTTCATTAAAAATGTCTTTGTATTCATATGCATCTATAAAGCATGCCACTACTATATGTCTTTGAAAGATATGAATGGTTATCTAAACAATATCAGTAAATTTCCCCCCAGAAAAGGAAGATGTTGAGATTCAGGTCTAGCTTCAGTATAGATCTTAAATCAAACTGTTTAAACTATTAGAGTTGGCAAATAGTCTTTTTACATGCAAATTCATATGCAGATTTTTTTGGATGTACATAAGTAACTTAGTGGTTTCCCACCATACTCCCCAAATTAATTTGAAGAGAAGGAAAATCTAGTCAATTTGTTTGTATTTTTTAATGTAGCCTTATCAAAGAGAAGACTAAGAAGGAAGAGTCGATGGTGCCTGGGCAACCTAGCAAAGCGGAAAAAGACTTTGCATTTCAATAAGGAGAACAAAGCTCCAGGAGAAGAGCCAGATGAAGTGGAGAGTGATGGAGAAGAATGTATGGAAAATAATAACTCCAGTATGGAGCAGACTGATGTTGAAATAATACAAACGACTCTGGATGACTCTGAATGTGTGTCTCCAGAGGAGTATATCAGTATATGTGATTCAGGAAATGAGCCAGCCATTCACAATAATGCTAAGTGTAAATTTGACAAGAGCAACAAAGATGCTGAACTCTTAGAACCAAAAAAACCATGTAATGGTGATGCAATAGAGCATTCATTAGATAAGGATGCTAATAATGGTGAGTAGAAAGTGTCAAAATATACTTTAGGGCAGTGGTCCCCAACCTTACTGGCTGATGGTTTCACATGTTCAATCTAGATTCTGTGCATGCACAGATAAAGCTTTGGCCAACAGGCCACGGACCGTGGGTTAGGGACCCCTGCTTTAGGGAGAGTGTTTAATTCTACTTCACATTCTCTTAAACATTGTAGTGTTCTCTCTCATTTTAGTGATTCTGCCAGCTAAGTTTAAATTCACATTGCAGTGCCAGTCTAACAGTATTAGTTAATTAGTTTTATTCAGTGAAATTGTGATTTTTTTTCAGGGCCATTAAAATTATATTGCTATAATTAATGTTTTGTTTGTGGGATAGTCACAGAGTAGCATACAAAATAAAAAAAATGTTACAGTATTCTAAAATCTTTAGCGTTGGGATGATTTTATTGCATACATGATGACCAAAATCTCTACTTGTGACCCACTTACGTAGAAGACCTTCCCCCAGAAACTGCTAATACAGAAACCATCACCTGAATCATTGAAAAGAAAGCCTTAGGAAAGTAAGGGTCCTTTTGGTTGGGATCCCTAATATTATCCCCATTTGTTGACTTCCAAATTCTTAGTAAGATAAGATGAATTCATCTCAACAATTATTTGATGTGACCCTATATATTGCTAGACTTCAAATGGGATATTATAGGATACTTGGCAGACTAAACTATTCTATAGGAACTCTACCATAGATATTACTTTTATGTACCACAAGGCTTATTCATTTACTGTATATTTGTTATGTCTTCTAGCGGCAATAAACACTACTTTTCCTTTTATTATTGTAGATATATGTATGCTTCGTATGACCCGTGCAAGACGTTCACAGGTAGAGCAGCAGC